GGCCAACTCGACGTCACTCACTCCCAGTCACATGACCCCCTAGCCATGCCTACCCAGCCGGTCATTAGGACAAAGAACCAGGAACCACAAAACCCTTTTCTCTCCCTCCCCCCCTCTGTATCTGTCTCTCTCCCTCTCCCTGTATCTCTCTCTGTAACTCTCTTTCCCTATCTTCCCTTATCTCCCCCCTCTCTGTATCTCTCCCTCCCCCCGTATCTCTCTCCCCCTCTCTGTCTCACTCCCCTCCCCCACTCTATCTTCCCCTCTCCCTCCTCTGTATCTGTCTCCCTCTCCCTGTATCTCTTTATCTGTCTTTCCCCGTCTCTCTCCCTATCCTCCCCTTTCCCCCTCTGTATCTCTGTCTCTCTCCCCCTTTCCCTCTCTCACCCCCTCTCGCTGTATGTATCTCTGTGTCTCTTTATGTCTGTGTGTATCTCTCTGTCTGTGTCTCTTCTCACTCTCAGAAAGCCCAGCGAGCTCTCATTGGGGCTCTTCGCTACTGCTTTTCTTTCTTGTTTTTGGAAATCTGGCCTGGCTGAGGAACGAGCGCAAAGCGCAGCGGAGGCTTCCCTTCGGGCAACCCTCCTCCTCTCGTGACGCCCTGGCCGGCTGTGGCGGGGCCGGGAGTGTGCGCATGAGCAGGGAGACTCTCCTCAAGCAAGCCGGCAGGGTCGGCCAAAGTGCAGCAAAGGATGGATGGATTGACAGATAATTTTCAGCAACAAAGTGTCAGCGACAGCATCTTTCTGTCCAATTTTAGTGAACTGAAACGATGTGACAAGGAAGGCTCCTGGCGTGACTGCAACTCCCAACATTCCCTGCGATTAGGCTTAAGAGCCTTGTCACTTTCAACACAGATAAAGGGAGAGGGAGTACGAATCTCAGCAACCTGACCCATTTCTCTTGGGGTTCGTGGCAGATCGTACGGTATTGCGCTTCAGTTGCTCGGACGCTCAGAGGAGGTGGAACCATGTGGACTGGGGAAACCCATAAGAGAACGAGGCAACGTGGATCCGGGATTTCCCCACCGGCAGCAGGGAAGGGCCCTATGCAGCATTTGGGTCTGACTGAAGCTTAAAAGCCTTTCATACTGGTGTATGTCGGTTCTCCTGCTTGAGCAGTGGGTGGACTAGAAAGACCTCCAAGGTCCCTTCCAGGTCTGTTCTATTCTATTTGGCTTTCAGGCAATGATGGATTGAGTGTTGAAGAAGATAACGTTTCTCGAAACCTTTATTTAAGTCACCTCTCTTTAAGCTGTTGGCCTTGAAAGTTGTGAGATCAGCACTAAATACCGGATTGTGCCTTCAGTTCAAGCGGAGGCAGTTCTAGCAGAGCGGAGCAACATGTTTTTATTTTATTGGCACTTCCAATAAAATAGGTGTTGAAACATTAAAATCATGCTGTGCAGCAACAACTAATAAACACGATAAAATATTTGAACAATACACAAGGCTTGAAAAACACAATAATATTCCGTAAGCCATACAGTTGCTGTATTTATATGATACAAGGTGCATTGAAAGGTTAACATGAAGGGTGAAATTCAGCAGGTTCTGACAGGTTCTGGGAACCGGTAGTGGAAATTTTGAGTAATTTCGGAGAACTGGCAAATACCACCTCTGGCTGGGTGGGAATGGAGATTTTGCAATATCCTTCCCCCAAGACTGGAGGGAATGGAGATTTTGCAGTATCCTTCCCCCAGGAGTGGGGGTGGAATGGAGATTTTGCAATATCCTTCCCCCAGGAGTGGGGAGGGAATGGAGATTTTGCAATATCCTTCCCCCAGGAGTGTGGAGGGAATGGAGATTTTGCAGTATCCTTCCCCTGCCACGCCCACCAAGCCACACCCACAGAACCAGTAGTAAAAAAAAATTGGATTTTATCACTGGTTAACATACACAGATTAGTATGGGGCCCCTATGCTCATGGGGCCCACGGGCAAGTTCCTGTCAGGCCCATGTATTAAGATGGCCCCGGGAGGGGGGCAACTAGGAAGAAGGGGCTGTGATGGAAGAGCAGCGTTATGCGAAGGGAGAGATTGTGGCGGGGGGGGGGAGAGGAGTTTCCCTGAGTGGGATTGTGGTGCCTTTTTCACACACAGGAAAAGATCTGTGGATTAAATGATCACATTCTCAAATTATGCTAGCAGGAGGCAGGTGTTTCGAAAGGCACTTTGCATTTGAAACGCTGGGGAGAAATTCCCAAAGGTGCGGAAAGTGCCCAGGATTCCTGGCTTAAACCAACACATGTCTGCTGACCCCAAGTAATAATCCTAACCGTTCTGAACCAAGTTTTGGTTCCCCTAGACTTTTTCTTTTGTCCATAACTATTATGCAAAACCTTGTTTGTATGTGTGTGGTGGACAAAACCCTCCACTATTTCTTGCCCGGTGCGTATTTCTGTGACATTTTCTTTGGCCAACGATAGGTCAAATATGGCTCCTCGGTACGGGCCTCGGTGTGCTAGGCCCCAATTAAGCAAACGAGAATAATTTAATTCACGATTTAGTTGAAACGTTGCAATTTAAAAGGTATCCTCTTTAGACTGAGGAAGGAACCTGGAATAAAGGCTTACATTTGCAAAAAAAGAAAAAACTTCAAAGAAAATGTTGATTGGTTTAGGAAAAGTCCTCTGTCCAGTTACATCATGAAAAATTAGACATCCCATAATATGTAAACATAAGAATTGAAAGGAGCATTGTATTCTGAATAAAAGCAAAAGAAACAGGCTTGGGAACAGCTGAAAAGAAAATTGTTTTATTATGTATCAAGAATTTTGGCAAGGTCCTGGTTTCTAGAAGAAAGTCTTTTTACATTATTCTTGTTAGGTTAGACTTATGGCCATTTATGAACAATACATTTTTAAAGAGAGAGAAAGAAACAAGGCCAATTTAAAATATAAGAAAACTCATGTTATTTAGCCGGTGCAACAGTACTACAAAACCCAACAGCAAGTATTACAAAGTCCATTCTATGTGGCCCTCACCAAGGAGAGGCTCCCAACGCAAGAGATTTTATCTTGGAAAATATCCACTTTACAGTATGTTGGGATTTCAGACTGCTTTATTCTAACCATTATTCTACCATTATAAACTATTCTAAGCCAGTCTTTCAGTCGTGTTGGCCTTCCAATACCAGAATCCTTATCACAATTGCTGGATGTTTTGTGTGTGTGTTTGAGTCAGTGTGTTTTAACTTATGGAAACTACCTGAAATGGTTTGCCATTACCTGCTTCCTAGGACTGAGAGTGACTGGCTGGCCCAAGATCACCTAGCCGGCTTTGTGCCCATGGTGGATCTCCCAGTTCCCTGGTCTCTAGGCTGGTTCCTTAGCCATTAGGAACCGGGGCCTGGTGGCTCAGCAGACTGATAGCATTGTGATTAACACCAGCTGTCTGCAATTACTGTAAGTTCGAATCTCACCAGGCTCAAGGTTGACTCAGCCTTCCATCCTTTCTAAGGTAGGTAAATTGAGGACCCAGTTTGTGGGGGCAATAAGCTGACTTTGTATAAATATACAAAAGTATGAAGGCTATTGCTTAACGCACTGTAAGCCGCCCTGAGTCTCCGGAGAAGGGCGGCATATAAATCAAATAAAAAAAAATAGACCAAAGTGGTTCTCCCTGGTTGCTTTAAACCATGGGGAAAAAATCTATTCTGTTACAGTCCCCTTTAGAGAATAGCTGACTCCCCACTCAAATGTACACATTGCTTGAAAGGTTTTTAAAGAGTGGGCAGAAAAAAAGCTTCAAATAAATAAGGATGCATATGGACTAGCATCTCTTTCTCTCTATAGCAGGGGTGAAATCCAGCAGGTTCTGGAGAACCGGTAGCGGAAATTTTGAGCAGTTCAGAGAACCCGCAAATACCACCTCTGGCTGGCCCCAGAGTGGGGTGGGAATGGAGATTTTGCAACATCCTTCTCCCAGGAGTGAGGAGGGAATGAAGATTTTGCAACATCCTTCCCCCAGGAGTGAATATCCTTCCTCCAGGAGTGGGGAGGGAATGGGGATTTTGCAGTATCCTTCCCCTGCCACACCCACAGAATCGGTAGTAAAAAAAAAATGATTTCACCACTGCTCTATAGCCAGCCATTTTTTATACATCTGGGCAAAAAAAGGAATCTGTAAGGGAATCACTTCCAAAATTGTTCCAATGCCTGTGTATAAATCCCATTTATTCTAAGCCTGTCTCAGTGATTCAGCAGATAAATAGGAATGGGTTACTTTATAGTTTAAATCTGCCAATCTCGATTTAAAGCTGTTTACTTGCCTTGTGAGAAATCTTAAAATGATGGCACTAATATTTTGAGGGGAATTACAAAACGGAGACTAATTTTTTAAAGAAATACTGGCTGCTTTCCTTTTTGCCTTTCTTTTCCTATCCGCGGCTAAATACTTTAGTTGAAGTTTTTCACCTGAGGTGTCAATTTTGGAGGGGGCTACAACCACATAGATAGACTCTCCTGCAATACCTATGCTTGCAATTCTGGCTGCAGTCTCTGCACAGATTTTCCCCTTGTAATTCTTTCATTTAACAGGAATAATCAACGTTTCCACCTGAGATCCGCGGTAAAACCAGGTGCCCTTTGCAAAAAACGCATCTCCTCTCCTTAAGACAGTGTTTCTCAACCTTGGAAGCTTGAAGATGGGTGGACTTCAACTCCCAGAATCCCCCAGCCAGCGCTGCTGGCTGGGGGATTCTGGGAGTTGAAGTCCACCCATCTTCAAGCTACCAAAATTGAGAAACACTGCCTTAAGAGGTCCTCCTTGTGCAAATCTAGTGCCGCCCCTCAATGCAGCCAATCCGCCACACGCCACTCATTGTCCACAAATCAGAATTGCAGCGTGGGGTAGCCGTGCTCCGAAAGGCTGCTGGGAACTGTAGTCACACGGCTCTCCTTTTGCCCCCCCCCAGCCATAAAAATACATTCCTGGGTAGGATCAAGGGGAATTCTGGGAAGCTAAATAGTCTAGACTTTTCTCTGCATACCTTCAAAAAGATAAGATTTCTGTCCAAGCCGCGAATAGATAGATCGTGGAGATTGCAAACATTTTTTATTATTATTATTTCTATTTTTTTTTTTTTTGAATGTCTATTTAACGCACACGTATGCACCCGCCCTCTCAGGGCTCAGATTATGAACGCTGGTAATCCCACTTGGAAAACGTCACGAGATCCGTTTCTCCACCTAGTAGTTAATTGGTGCTCGGCGATTCACTCCTGATTGGCTGGTAGTAAAAAAGCACCTGCAGCTGAAAGCTATTTCAAGATTGCGGGGAAAAGAGCTTGGGACAATTAAGGGAATCGGTTTGGTTTGCAGGTTGTGCTACGACTTCTCCGAGAAATCGAAAAAATGATGGCAGCGGTGAGTAGAAAAGTCAATATATATATATATTGCACTTCTGTAATATCAGCACTTCTGTATCCCAGGAATGAATGAATGAATGAATATATGTATGTATATATGTATGTATGTATGTATGTATGTATAATATACATACATACATACATATATTCATTCATTCATTCATTCATTCATTCCTGGGATACAGAAGTGCTGATGTTGCGCAGCCGGGAAGAGATGAGAGTAACAGTTGCGGCTCGGCAACTTGAAAACGGGTGGAGAATCCAACTCCTAGCATCTCCTAGCCAGCATGGAAGTTGGAGTCCGCCCATCTTCGAGTTTGCGAAGTTGAAAAAAAAAAAACCATTGGTTTAGAAGTTTGGTGTAAAACAAGTTTAAGCATTTTGTCAGAAGTGCAAAAGTTATACTGGCGCTCATATTAAAACACACTAAAGGGAACATTGCGTGGATGTTGGTCCAATCTTGGTCAGATATCAATCAGAATAGAGCTGGAAGGAACCTTGGAGGTCATCTAGTCCAACCCCCTGCTCAAACAGGAGACCCTGCCTACACCATTTCAGAAAGGTGCCTGTCCAGTCTTTTCTTAAAAACCTCCAGTGATGAAGCACCTATAACTTCTGAAGGCAAAGCTGTTCCTTTAGTTAATTGTTCTCACTGTTAGGAAGTTTCTCCTTAATTCCAGGATGCTTCTCTCCTTGATTAGTTTCCATTCATGGTTTCTTGTTTTGCCTTCTGATGCTTTGGAAAGTAAGTTGACCCCCTCTTCTTTTTGGCAGCCCCTCAAATACTGGAAGATTGCTATCATGTCACCTCCTAATTCTTCTTTTCTCTAGAATACCCAAACTCTGCAACCGTTCTTCATATGTGTTAGTCTCCAGGCCCTTAATCATCTTAGTTGCTCTTCTCTGCACTTTTCCCAAAGTCTCAACAACTTTTTGATAACGTGACCAAAACTGGATGCAGTACTCCAGGTGTGCCTCACTTAAGACTTTATCCAAGCTGGAAACAATTTTGGGTGGGAGACCCTTTGTGCTTTACAAGCTGGAGAAAGATACGCTAAGGTAGCCTCCTCCCTCTTCGACAGCCCTCGTGGGAGAGTCTATAGTACAGCGTTTTTTCAATTTTGGCAAGTTTAAAATGGGTGGACTTTGACTCTCAGAATTCTGGGAATTGAAGTCCACCCATCTTAAACTAACCACGGTTAAGAAACACGGCTATAGTATATGAGACACTGAGGGCAATTAACCCAGCCTGTCAGGTTGCTTTTCCACATTTTGATCCAATCCATTTTTAAAGTGTTGTGAATTGAATATTATCCTTATGTGTGTAATAGGATTATGGAATGAACAAAGATATTTATTTTCCACTGCTTTCACTAACCTCCTTAGCAAAACTTGGCTCCTCACTGTGAGAAAATATTGTCTCTTTTCTCTGCAGTGTGCACAAACTTTGTACTACGTGCCTTTGCATCAATGCTTTGTATTTACAAAACTATTTGAAATTGCCCCAATTACTTGATCTCCTGAGTTTCAATACAGCTGAAGTCTCATACTGAATTGCAAGCTCATTTTTCTTTTCCTTACATAAACTTTTTATGGAAAGCTGTATGTACTGAGCTTCATATATACTAGTTTTTCTAGCTAGGATAACTTTATTCATAAGCAATTAAGTTTACAGGAACTTAGCCTAAACAAAACAAGCTTCACACATTATGCTAAAGTTTAATTTGTGTTTGCTTAGCTTTGATTTAATATGTGCAACCCAAACATTTGTAAGGCTTGCAAAATACAAATTATAATGGAATGTGAGAAAGACCTTGAAATGCAGAATGAGAAAAGGCTGCCTAGGCCAGGGGTCTCCAACCTTGGCAACTTTAAGAGCTGTGGACTTCAACTCCCAGAATTCCTCAGCTTTGCTGGCTGAGGCGTTCTGGGAGTTGAAGTCCACAAGTCTTAAAGTTGCCAAGGTTGGAGACCCCTGATCTAGTCAATTGTGGTTTATTCATGAAACCATGTGAAATCACAATGTGTGAGAATTTAGCTATGGTCTACAGTAGAGATGGAATATTTGTGGAAACTCAAACTGGTGGAAAAACAATCTTGGGTTTCTGGGAAAACATGTCCAGAATTTGAAATACGTGTAATTTATTTTAAAATAACATCTGCCTTGTGTCTTTTAATCTATAAAAATAAGGGAAGCACATATAAGCACAAAGGAGGAACGAGTGCTTTTTTTTGTATGAAAAGAGACATTCTCCTAAAAAAAAATGAACTGGAAAAGTACTTAACGGTAGTACAATGCCTGCTGCTCAGATAAATCCTATAAATTGCTTTCCATAGACATTTTATATAAAGAAAAAAAAGAAAAACCAAGCTTTGCTACTCTTTTTTTTTTTTTTTAGGAACTGGTTGCTCATATGAAAATCAGGTCTGGCGATTGCATCAAAGTGAAAGGCAAGATAGAATTAGATGCCAAAAGGTTTGTCATTAATAGAATTAACATTACAAAAGAATATTGGATTTGATGGATATTGGGTTGAATTCATTCTGTAATAAAGGGACACTGAATCCATTTTTGTTCAGTGGATAGTTGGACCTGTACATGTCCTTTAAATTATCATTTGTTGTAAATTTTTTGGAGAACCCGGGTAGTTTTTTTTAAAAAAAACGTAACAATGAATTGTCTTTGCATGATTATATAATGATATTCCCATTAATGAATGCCAAATAATATAAAATCCTTCAAGCACCATTTAAAACACATAGAAAATGAAGCATATTGGTCTTTGACTTGGAAAAAAAAGCCTGAGCTTGGAATTGTTCTGCAATTCAGATATTTTTGCATGTGCATGTGGAGTACAAGGACAGTGTTTTTCAAAGTTGCCAACTTTAAGATGTGTGGACTTCAACTCCCATGTTTGCCCGTTGGGGAAATTCTGGGAGCTGATGAAGTCTGCATATTTCATGCTGATATTGGAAAAATACTGAACCAGGGAAGGCAGGGAGTTAAAATTTGCCAGGCATATAGAATAAGAATGTGAACATATTTTTGCACATCAGGTCTAATCTTTGAGTCAAAGGTCCAATATGTATTCATAAATTGGTTATTTTGGATCAGATCCCAAATTACTCTCATCATTGTGTAAGCTATTTTAATGCAGGAGTCTCCAACCTTGGCAACTTTAAGCCTGGAGGACTTCAACTTCCAGAATTCCGCCAGGCTTAAAGTTGCCAAGGTTGGAGACCCCTGTTCTAATGCAACCAGATTGTATTTTCTAGCCCAGAGGAGTGTACTTGAGAAATAAAAATGAAAGTCCCAGAGTAGCCTTTGTAAGTAGGACTGCTCTGGACATCTCCTCTTTATGGTTTCTTTTTTTATATTTGCACGTGTACCGTGGATGTAGAGGTCTGAATGTGACCATAGATTTCTTGGGCTGTCTACTAATGATCAAAACTTGTCCTTTCCAGTTTTGCCATCAACCTGGGCCAGAATGAATCTGAACTGGTCCTTCACTTCAACCCTCGCTTCGAGAGTTACGGGGATGTTAGGACCATTATTTGCAATTCCAAAACGTGTGGCGAATGGGGGATGGAAGTCAGGGAGGCAGCATTCCCTTTCCAACAGGGGGAAGAATTCAAGGTAAGAAAAACTGTTGGCCTCCCCTCCACTTGGTATCTTCCAGATACCAAAACCCCAGCACGGCTATCGGACCCGGAGGGGCACCAGGTTGAGAAGAACTGAACTCTACAACTAATCACAATAAAAGCAAAGTAGCTTACCTCAAGATAAACAGAAAGGTTGACATCTTTGGACAAGATTGGGGTGGTGGCTGTATTGGAAGGAATGGCTTTGCTTGAAACCAATTCATGTCTTGTGGATTGATTAAATAAGTTTTTCTTTTTTTAAAAAAATGGTGTTTTACCATTACAAGAATGCCGTTCTGAATTTACATGACCTGGCAAGCTAATTTGCCAATTGCCTTCGGTGGTGTCTAAAGTTGGACATTTGCTTTCTTGGAAGTGGTAGCTTTTAACCGAGGTTTGCTGTATTTATTTACTTGATTTATACCCTAGCTCAGTGATGGCGAACCTTTTCTGCACCGAGTGCCAAAAAGGTTGTGCTGAAACGTCACGTGTGTCTGCGCACCCTCGTCGGGGCCGTGCTCCTGAAAAGCCGAACTTCCTGGTTCTAGCATGCATGCTGATCTGTCCCCGTCTTCACACACACACAAACACAGCCAGCCGAGGGTTAAGAAAGTACTTGGCATGCACACAGGTCGTCATCTCAAACTTGGCAACAATATAAGCACCGTCTGCCAAGAGCTTTACTGCAACAGATAACATAAAATTACATACGCATTGCAAATAGTCCAGCAAAACAATATCCCTTCGGCAGCTTCAGACGTTCAAGTGACTAGCCAGAGTTAGTTTTTGTTCGTCACTGAGTTTTACCAGCCACCACCCTCTCTTATATAGTCTCTGGGGTGTGGTCCAGTGACTCAGTTCTAATCCCTAGCACGCCTCCTTAACTGCTGCAACCGTTTATCACACCTTCATTGGCGTGCATCCAGGAACGACGGCTCTCCTTCCTCGCTCTCATCCGAGACACCTGGCTCCTGGCTAATCTCCTCTCCCTCGGCCAGCACCTGAGACAGTGCCAGAGAGGGGAGGGGCCTGGAGAGGGAGGCCTGGCTGACTCCTCTCCCTCATGTTCGGAGCCTTCTTCCTCCGATGAGATAGGCTCAGAGGGCGGGGCCACAACACATGCACACCTGACGATTAGCTGGCCGGCGCACATGCGCAGGCTGGTTTTCAGCACCGCCGCATGTGCAAAGGACAGTTGATCATCATGCGCACATGTGCACCATAAACCCAGAAGACAAACAGGCAAGGCCACACGTGCCAGGCGACATGGCTTTGCGTGCCACTTTGGGCACATTTGCCATAGGTTTGTCATCACGGCCCTAGCTGATGAACATTCACGGGAGCTAACGAAATGTTTTGGTTTTAAGGCTCCAATCTTTATTTGTGTGTGTGTGTGCATAGTCTTTATGTGTGCCTTCAAGTCAGCCTTTGGCTCCTGGTTGACTACTCAGAAGAAGTCCTGGCAGTTTTCTTGGCAAGGGTTTGGAAGAGGTTTGCTCTTGCCTGTTTCCCAGGGATTGAGAGGAGGAGACCGGCCCAAAATTACGCAACTGGCTTTGTGCCTAGAAGAAGGCACTAGAACTCGCAGTCTCCCGATTTCTAGCCTAGTGCCTCAAGAATGACACCAAACGGATGCACTCTTTCTCGCAAACTTTATAGCATCTTAATATAATAAACTATATCTCAAGAGACTTTCTTTTTTCATTTCTTCCAGCTCTTTGTCTGCTTTGATGCCAAACAAATCACCGTGAAAATGCACAAGGGGGAAGAACTCAAGTTCCCAAATAGACTGGAAATAGATACAGCGGAATACTTCTCCATTGTTGGCGATGTGAGAATTAAAACTGTCAAATTTGATTGAGCCCATCCCTGTTTATGAAGCCCGAAATAAAACTTGCATGAATAAAGTTGAGACTATCCTTGCCTGATTCCATCGTTCAGTCTTTGCTCGTCCGTACAAATTGCTGGTTTATATTTTATTTGCATGCAGTAATTCCAATTTTGCTTCCTGTTCAAATATGAAGAAATGTCTGGTAGAATCTTTTGACACTAATTCTGTGAAGCAAGGCATCAAATGCAGATGCAGTTCATGAAAACCTATGCCTTAAATAAAAGAATTAGTTTTCAAAGATGCCACCAGACTATTCCTAAATTTTGGCTGCCTGGGAGAGCAGAGTTAAGAAGCAAATCTCTTCTTACACCGTCTAGCTATGAAACTTGTTGGGTTAACTTGAGTTTGGACAAATTCAAACCAAATGGGCAATTTTACTTAGCCAACAGAGTTTGCCTAAAAGGAAGCAGAGTCCAAGGTTGCTGTGTTACACCTCATGGCTGGGGCTGCTGGTGAATTACAAGTTCCATACTCCTGGGCCCAGTGTATATTTTGAGTGACATGATGCAGGAAGAGTCAACTACCTATAGAGTAGTTTGCCTCTAATAGGAATCACTAGATGTGAATTCAGTGAGGTTTCTTATAGCTTCCTTATAGTTTATTGAATAGAATAACAGAGTTGGAAGGAAACTTGGAGGTCTTCTAGTCAAACCCACTGCCTAGGCAGGAAGCCCTACACCACTTCAGACAAATGGTTATCCAACATCATCTTAAAACTCCCAGTGTTGGAGCATTCACAACTTCTGCAGGCAAGTTGTTCCACTGATTAATTATTCTGTCAGGAAATTTCTCCTTAGTTCTAAGTTGCTTCTCTCCTTGATTAGTTTCCACCCATTGCTTCTTGTCCTACCCTCAGGTCCTTTGGAGAATAGCTTGACTCCTTCTTCTTTGTGGCAGCCCCTGAGATATTGGAAGACTGCTATCATGTCTCTCCTAGTCCTTCTTTTCATTAAACTAGACATACCCAGTTCCTGCAACTGTTCTTCATATGTTTTAGCCTCCAGTCCCCTAATCATCTTTGTTGCTCTTCTCTGCACTCTTTCTAGAGTATAAATATTGTGTGTTCTCCTCATGCCTTCTTGCCATTCTCTCCCACTCCTTCCCCCAAATCTTGTGAAAAAGATTAGCCTGAGGTCCTGCAATCTCCATAGCAGAGTGGAAATACGAACCGTGGTCTTGATGTTAAGTCTATTCCCTATCACTCACAAACTATTGACCCCTGACAGTGCTGAATTTCTACAGAGGCCACACTAGGCCTGTATACCAATAATAAAATAGTTTGCTTACGTTTGGCCTAGAAGATTGGGTCACTCCAACCTTCGTTGTAAATCATGGCTTATGGTTTGGTACATTGTTAGAATATTTGCAGCTCAGGGTAAACAATGTGTGGTGCTTGATACTTTCTGAGTTTAGTGGTTTGCTTGCAGATATCTCATTACCCACCTAAGCAGCAGCATCTGGCATTCCTCATAATGAAGCATCTGCGAGAAAATTCTATGCCAAGTTTGGTATATATGGAAAGCGACCTAATTATGGCTTGTGTAACCAATAATTAATAGTTAACCGGTATGAATCTGAACTAATTCTGGCTTGCCCTTTACTCACCCCACCACTGGCTACTGGTGGTTCATTCTGCCAATGAAACCCTAGTTGTTCTGTTATTTGAACCCCATTCTATAAAGCAGAAGAAACCACATTTCCCCCCATGAATGGGTGTCTGAGGGAATCTCCAAGGTGTCAGCATTCTGATGCTGCCATAAAAAGGAGGAGCCGAGGCTTTACTTTTCACCTACTTATTTTCTCTGTAGATGATATCCCCTAGGAGATGGGAGGGGAGGGGTACATTCCTGTGGGCTGAGGTCAGAAGCTGGGGAGACTGACTTGGAAGATGGCCAATGAGAAGATGAGAATTGGGGAACGGGAAGGGAAAGGTTTGGGGGCTACGACGAAGTTGGGGCCAGATCTGTCGTACTCAATAAATGGAATATTTCAGCAAAGATTGTTTGGGAGTGCAATTTATTTGAGATGACATCGAAACCTGGCACAAAGATAACAAAAACAATTATGGGCTAACAGACTTAGAAGGTACCTTGCAGGTCATCTAGTCCAACCCCCTGCCCAAGCAGGAGGAGACCCTACATCTGCCTCTACCTAGCATCAAACTCAAAACCTCCTGATTGTGAGGCAAGAGCCCCACCTCTAGGCCACCACAGACAGACAATTAAGTGATTTATTCCTAGTGACCCCATAGGTGTTCTCCATGATGATCTATCCTTAACTTGGTCCCTCAGATTTTGCAAAGGTTCTCCCATCACCACTGTGTCCATCCCACTTCCTGCTGGTCCTATTTTCGTCCACTTTTCCCAGTATCGGAGCTTTCTGTAGAGAGTTAGATTCTTACAATGTGTCCAAAGCAGGGTAATTCAAACCTGATCATTTATTTTATACGTCCAGCGAGAACTCTTTGATTTGTTTCTCAACCCTGGGGGTAATTTTAAGATGTGTGGATTTCAACTCCTTATGCTGGCTGGGGAATTCTGGGAGTTGGAGTCCACACATCTTCAAAGTTGCCAAGGTTGAAAAATACTCTCTTAGGTTATCCATTGTTTTCTTGGCTGTCCACCAGTCCTCAGAAATATTCTCCAACATCAAAATTCAAAGACCCTTCGAAAACAGGAGGAGGCAGTCTTTCCAAGCCTACTTATTGGGGGGGGGGAGTTGTTTCTTCAAAACAGGTAGTCCTCGACTTACAAGAGTTCATTTAGTGACCAAAGCTACAACGGCACTGAAAAAAAGGGACTGTTGGGACTGTTTTTCAGAGTTACGACCTTTGCAAGCATCCGCATGGTCAGGGGATCAAAATTTGGATGCTTGGAAACTGGTTCATATTTATGAGGGTTGCAGGGTCCCAGGGTCGGGTTTCAAAACCCATCGCTACTGGTTTGCTCAGCGCGCGCGATGCTTCTGCGCATGTGCAGAAGTATCCAGGCGGGTGGGCGGAGCCTCCGCTGCCCAATCTGGAGCGAACTGGTAGCCACCCACCACTGATGCGATCCCCTTTTGCGACCTCCACTTAGTAACAGTATACAGAGGGACCTTGGAGATCATTTACTCCAACCCTCTGCTCATGCAGGAGACCTATACTAGGGATTTGAACCACCGAACAAGCTCAGCATCTTAGCCACTGAGCCTCCTGACAGGCAAAGTCAAGGGGGGGGGAAGGCCAGCTTCACTTAACGACCAGGTTAGTAACTTGTCAACTGCCGCGATTCACTTAACAACCGTGGCAAGAAAAGGTCGTAAAAGGGGGCAAAACTCCACCAACGTCTCGCTGAACAACAGAAACGTTGGGCTCCATTGCGGTAAATCGAGGACTATCTATTTCCAATTTCCCTCACAGAAGAAAGAAAGAAAGAAAGAAAGAAAGAGAAAGAAAGAAAGAAAGAAAGAAAGAAAGAAAAACGCCTAAAACGCGGGAAAGAAGCGCTCCATCTTTGACCAGTGTAGCCAATTTGGCCCAATCGCAGCTCCAAGGCCACCTGGCTCAGGTGCACCGGTGGGAGGAGTCAAAGTCTTAAGCGCGGGTAGCGGCTCCGCGTAGGTGGGAGCGGGCGAGCGAAAAGATCAAAGGCAAGGGGCGGGGAAATCCCGGGAATTCTAGTCTGAGGATTCTAGGTGGGCGTGGCCAGCGGCTGGTTGGGCGGGGAGGCTTGGCCTCCTATGAAAGGGAGGGGTCGATTTCGATTTTTTTTTCCTCCTGTGTAGTGGCGCCCGTGTCATCCTCCGCGTGTCTGAACGCGCTCTGCCTTTCTCTTTCCACCAGCCGGGTCTGCACGTTTTGCTTCTGGCTTTGGGTATATATATATATATATATAGTTAAACGGGGTTTCTCTCTCGGTCTTCAATCTGGTTTGTTGAATGGCTCCGGGTTTTCTCTTTGCCTTAGAATAGAATAGAAGTGTAGGGGACCTTAGAGGTCTTCTAGTCCAGCCCCCCTTACTCAAGCAGAAGAACAATACTATTTCAAATAAGTGGCTATCTAGTTTCTTCTTAAAAAACCTCCAGTGATGGAGCAGCCACGATTTCTGAAAGCAAATTATTTCACTGGTTAATTGTCCTCCCTGTTAGGAAGTTTCTCCTTAATTCCAGGTTGCTTCTCTCTTTGGTTAGTTTCCAACCATTGTTTCTTGTCCTGCCCCCCCCCCCCCGTGCTTTGTAGAATAATTTGACCCCCTTTTCTTTGTGGCAACCCTCAAATACTGGAAGACTGCTATCATGTCACCCCCTAATTCTTCGTTTTTTTTAGACTGGCCAAACCCAATTCCTTTAGCTGTTCTTCATATGTTTTAGTCTCCAGGCCTTTGATCATCTTAGTTGCTCTTCTCTGAACTTTTTCCAAAGTCTCGACATCTTTTTTTGTAATGTGGTGACCCAAACTGGATTCCAGGTGTGGTCTTACTAGGGTTTTTATAAAGTGGCACTGATATTTCTCCCCATTAAAATATCGTTTTGTTGGATAGGGCTCATTGTTCAAGTTTGTCAAGATCTTTTTGGATCCTGAGCTTGTCTTCTGGGGTGTTGGCTATTCATGCCAGTTTAGTGTCATCTGCAAATTCGATGAGTCCCCCTTCTATTCCCTCATCTAGATTTTGGGATCAAAATGAGTTGCCTCCATGCCATGATGTAATGATATGCAACGCAGCATAATTAATAAATGAATTGCAGTGTTGTTTATTTGCATTGCTGTGGGAGATGACATGATGTTAATAGTAAAAATTAAAAAGTATTATTTTAGTGTTTAATAGTTAAGTGGTTATTTGACTTTAAATAATATTTAGAACCAATTACAGGTAGTGTGATTTACAACAATTTGCTTAGTGACTGTTAAAAGTTACAATGGCACTGCAAAAAGGGACTTAGCACCATTTTTCACACTTATGACCATTGTGTGATCCCTATGATCACGTGATCTACATTTGGGTGGTTGACAATTGACTCACATTTATGAGCCTGAGTGGCGTAGGAGGCTAATGCCTCCTATTAAGGCAGCATTTAACATCCAGCTGCCTGCAATTACTGCGAGTTCAATTCTCACCAGGCTCAAGGTCAACTGAGCCTTCCATCCTTTCTAAGGTGGGTAAAATGAGGACCCGGTTTGTGGGGGCAATAAGCTGACTTTGTATAAAATATAAAAAAGTATGAAGGCTATTGCTTAACGCATTGTAAGCCGCCCTGAGTCTCTGGAGAAGGGCGGCATATAAAAATAAATAAATTAATAAATTAAAAAAAAATGACGGTCGCAGTGATCACCTTTTGCAACTTTCTGACAAGCAAAGTCAATGGGGAAACCAGATTCACTTAATAACCATGTTACTAATTCAACAACTGTTGATTCACTTAACCAATGGGGCAAGAAAAGTCGTAAAATGGGGCAAAACTCATTTAACAATTTTTTCACTTAGCAACATAAATGTTGGGCTCAATTGTGGTCGTAGGTTGAGGACTACCTGTATATGTGGTTTTAAATATGTTTTATTTTAAATGGTTTATTTTCTGCTTGTACACCGCCCAGAATTTGGTACAAGATGGAGAGGCCATAAAGGTAAAAGGTAAAGTTTCTCCTCGCACGTATGTGCTAGTCGTTCCTGACTCTAGGGGGCGGTGCTTATCTCCATTTCAAAGCCGAAGAGCCAGCGCTCTCCGAAGACGTCTCCATGGTGATGTGGCTGGCATGACTAAACGCCAAAAGCGCACGGAACGCTGTTACCTTCCCACCAAAGGTGGTCCCTATTTTTCTACTTCCATTTTTTACCTGCTTTCGAAATGCTAGGTTGGCAGAAGCTGGGACAAGTAACGGGAACTCATCCCATTACGCAGCACTAGGGATTCGAACTGCTGAACTGCTGACCTTTCGATCGACAAGCTCAGCATCTTAGCCACTGAGCCACTGCGTCCCAAAGAGGCCATATAAACACTATTTTATGGAGACTTTTGAACACCAAATTCAAATTTTCAAACATTTTTTGACAGTCAAATGATGAATGGAAAGAATTGATTTTTTTTTATTTCCTCCAATTCTTGCCCCCAATTCTGAAGGAATGGTGTGTGTCTAAGTAAAAAGAGAGTTTTCTCCCTTAAATTTTGTGAGACAGTAAAAGAAGTTTTTTTTTAAGGAGGATTAAAACTTAACTGTGTCTGAAAGCATTTCATCAGATGTATGTGCTCCGATATGTGGATGGAACTCATTTCAATGAATTTTAGTGATAACGGAAAGATTATTTGTAAGCCTTTTTATGTGTACAGGTGGTCCTCGACTTACAACCACAATGGAGGCCAACATTTCTGTTGTTAAGTGAGACATTTGTTAAGTGAGTTTTGCACCATTTTACGACCTTTCTTGCCACAGTTGTAAAGGGAATCACTGCAGTTGTTAAGTTTGTAACAGGGTTGTTAAGTGAATCTGGCTTCCCCATTGACTTTGCTTGTCAGACAGTCACAAAAAGGGATCACATGATCCCGGGACACTGCAACTGTCATAAATATGAGCCAGTTGCCAAGCATCTGAATTTTGATCATGCGATGACAGAGATGCAGCAAAAGTGGTAATTGTGAAAAATAGTCATCAGTCACTTTATTCGGTGCTGTTGTAACTTTGGTCACTAAATGAACTCTTGTAAGTTGGGGGCTATATGTGTTAAGTTTTTTTAATGCACTTTTTAATGTCTTGTTTCTTTGTTTTTTGTAAAGAAAAAAAATTGAAGTTTTGTAGTTGTATTTTAACTTTTAAATCAATCCTTAAATCAAGGACTATCTTGATTAACAACTATTTGTTGTTAACAACAGTATTTGAGGGGTTGCCACAAATGAAGAGGGGGTCAGCCTATTTCCCAAAGCACCAGAAGGCAGGGAAAAAAAAAAAGATATGGATGGAAACTAATCAAGGAGAGAAACAACCTAGAACTAAGGACAAATTTCCTGACTCTAAGATTAATTACTTTGCCTTCAGAAATTGTGGATGCTCCATCACTGGAGGCTTTTAAAGAGACTGGCCAGCCATTTGTCTGAAATTGTGTAGGTTCTCCTGCTTGAGCAGAAGGTTGGACTAGAATAGGGGTGTCAAAACTCAAGGCCTGCGGGCCGGATCTGGTATGCAGAGTGCTTAAATCTGGCCCGTGGGGCTGCCCTGGATATAGCAACAAACGGGCCCACAGTGCCTCTGGCAGCCCCACCCCCACCTTGTTTTGGCCTGCAGGAGGCTGCCCAGGCCGAAAATGGAGTGCGGAGGGGCCTCGTATGCCCCCCCCCCGCCCCAGTTTGGCTGGCGGAGTGCTGCAGGAGGCTTCTATACTGTCTCCTCTCCAATTTGGCCCACGGAGGAGAACTACAATGCAGATCCAGCCCTTGAAGAAATCCAGTTTGACACCCCTGGATTAGAAGACCTCCAAGGAAGGTCTTCTAATCCAGGGGAACTCTGCTATTCTGTTAAGAACTAAGCTTTTTGGTGGGATTGGAAGACAATCCTAGCAAACAAGATGGGCGACCGTCCCATCTCACCCTAATTTCCTTTTCCTTTTGTACAGGTTGACCTTTGCAGGAGTGGCAAAAATAAATAAGTAAATAATAATAAAAAAACCCAGAACTCTCCCTAACTGTATATGCGCAAGCATTATTCCATCCTCTGGGAAGAACAAAACCGGCCTTCAGCTTCTCGGCATCGGCACCATGAGTCAGGAAATCACCACCAAGATATTCTGCTCGGAAGTGACCTGTTCCATTTGCCTGGAGTATTTCAGAGATCCCGTGATGCTTCCGTGTGGGCACAATTTCTGCCACGACTGCGTTATGAAATACTGGCGGGAGTTTGTATTGAAATACACTTGCCCTCAGTGCAAAATGGTCACCGACGCTGAGGGTGTTCTCCCAAACAAATCCCTGGAAAAATTTGCAAGGTTGCTCGAACAGCTGAAGCAGGAGGCAGGAGGCAAAGAGTCCTGCGAGAAACATCAGGCGCCTTGGGAATATTTCTGCAAGAATCACCAAGCCCCCTTCTGCAAGTGGTGTGCTGGATCCAAAGATCACGAAGGTCACGTCAAGATCTCCTTGGAGCAAGCAACCCAAGAATTTAAGGTGGGTGGATGGGGAATCCTCTGTTTCTAAAATAATAATGGAATAATTATGGTCTGTTTTTGCAAAATAAATAAATAAAATGTGGACAAAACCTGGGATGAGAGCTGGCTGAGGAATTCCGGGGATTGAAACCCACACATCTTAAAAGGAGAATATTTGTAGCTCAGCTTTGAAAGGAAGGGTGCTTGGTGCTCTCTGAGCTGGCTTGTTTTCATGCAGACTTCTTTCCTTATCCAAACTAGGTAACTAGTAGCACTGATGATGTTATCTAGTTGGGTAATGAAACAATCGCGAGAAAACAAGCAAGCTCAGAGAACATCAAGGACCTCAACAACTTAAAGTTACCAAGGGGTGGGTGGGAAACAGTGACTTAAATGTGCCAGAAAATGGATTTCTTTTTTAAAAATGAAGGAAACCTTTTAAAAACTGAACTCTTTTCCATTCGTTGAGTAAAAAACCAAAATGCCAAATTGGAGAATGTTGACTCCCTGAATTGCAATGCATGAAAGACAAATAAATCAGGTAGTCTGTTGCATATATTTTTCCTTCCAAAAGAGTTTATTAGACGGTGGTGTAATGATTTGATAAGTTAATGGTTTATTTATAAGTACTGCAGGATGCAAGCTCAGATTTTAATTTATTTGATTGTTTGATTTCTAAAGAGCTTTTCTTTCAGACGCACATGGTAAATTCATTATGTAGTGCTACTTCCTCCCATTATTTGAAGACCTAAATCAGAGGTCTTCAAACTTGGCACCTTTAAGACTTGTGGACTTCAACTCCCAGAATTCTCCAGCCAGCATAGCTGTTTTTAAACCTGTTTGTCCGGCTGGCTTTACTTCAATGTCTTCTGCCCGATGGTAAAAGTGGCCAGGGTGTGAATCATCCCTAAGTATCTTCCTTACTCTGCTGAAACAGCAAGATCTGGCGATGTCATCCAGTGGCGTTAGAGGGCAACCAGTGGTTTCTTGTGCCGAATTGATCACTCTCTGTAGTGCCTTCCTGTCCGCAGCTGTTAAACCAGCATCCCGTACTGTTTGTTCTGACCTAGGCTTCCTGAGTCAGTAAAACACACGAGTAGTCCCAAAAACCTGTTTTATTTTAACAGCTGTGAATTCTGTTCAGTCACAGATTCTGAACAGTCACACAGATTCTGTTCAGTCACACAAAACTTGGCTTCTCACTGTGAGAAAATATTGTCTCTCTTCTCTGCAGTGTGCACAAACTTTGTACTATGTGCCTTTGCATAAATGCTTTGTTTTTACAAAACTATTTGAAATTGCCCCAATTACTTGATCTCCTGAGTTTCAATACAGCTTAAGTCTCATACTGAATTGCAAGCTCATTTTTCTTTTCCTTACATAAACTTTTTATGGAAAGCTGTATGTACTGAGCTTCACATATACTAGTTTTCCTAGCTAGGATAACTTTATTCATAAGCAATTAAATTTACAGGAACTTAGCTTAAACAAAACAAGCTTCACACATTATGCTAAAATTTAATTTGTGTTTGCTTAGCTTTGACTTAATATGTGCAACCCAAGCATTTGTAAGGCTTGCAAAATACATTTATTTATTTGTTTGTTTGTTTGTTCGATTTATATGTCGCCCTTCTTCGGAGACTCAGGACGGCTTACAATGCGTTAAGCAGTAGCCTTCATACTTTTGTATATACCTGCTTAGTAGGGCTTTTGCCCCCCCTCACTCCCTCCAAGCAGTGTTCTTTTTTATACAAAGTCATCTTATTGCCCCCACAATCCGGGTCCTCATTTTACCTACCTTGGAAGGCTGAGTCAACCTTGAGCCTGGTGAGTTTTGAACTTGCAGTAATTGCAGGCAGCTGGTGCTATTTAACAAATTGTAAGGGAATGTGAGAAAGACCTTGAAATGCAGAATGAAGAAAGGCTGCCTAGACTTTGCTGGCTGAGGAATTCTGGGAATTGAAGTCCACAGGTCTTTAAAAGTTGCCAAGGTTGGAGACCTCTGGCCTAGGGAACAGTCAGATAACAGAGGGCATACCCTGTAGGTCCATAATGGGCAGAGAAAGAGGCTCAGGGGGGACCCTCCTTTATTTTTCAGACTGTAAAGGAGATGGGGGGGGGAAAATCCTATTTTCAGACTTGCAAGATTCTGTTACTATAGCTTTACAACAAAGTAGAATTAGCTATCTAGTTATGTCTCGTCTCTGTTCTGCCTGGGAAAGCTAAAAAAAAATAGGTCAGTAGGATGTACAAATCTAGACCAGGGGTCTCCAACCTTAGCAACTTTAAGACTTGTGGACTTCAACTCCCAGAATTCTTCAGCTTTGCTGGCTGAGGCATTCTGGGAGTTAAAGCCCACAAGTCTTAAAGCTGCCAAGTTTGAAGACCTCTGCCCTAAACCATGGTTGAGTTAAGGCATATGTCACCAAATTACTGGTCCCATTTTAAGTGAATTACAGCTCTCAAAATCATCTGCTTTTTAATAAAATATAGGTAGTCCTCAACTTACGATCACAGTTGAGCCCCAAATTTCTGTTGCTAAATGAGATAGTCGTTAAGGGAGTTTTGCCTCATTTTACGACCTTTCTTGCCACATTAGTTTAAGTGAATCCCTGCAATTATTAAGTTAGCAACACGGTTCTTAAGTGAATCTGGCTTCCCCATTGACTCTGCTTATCAGAAGGTCACAAAAGGTGATCACACGAGTCTGGGACATTGCAACCATCATAAATACGAGTCAGTTGCCAAGCACCCAAATTTTGATCCTGTGACCATGGAGATGCTGCAACATTTGGTAGCCTTGGTAGTACCGTGGTTTAAAGCACCCTGTTATTAAGACCAGCTGCCTGCAATTACTGCAGGTTCGAATCTCGCCAAGGCTCAAGGTTGACTCAGCCTTCCATCCTTTCTAAGGTAGGTAAATTGAGGACCCAGTTGTGGGGGCAATAAGCTGACTTTGTATAAAAATATACAAAAGGATGAAGGCTATTGCTTAGTGCATTGTAAGCCGCCCTGAGTCTTCGGAGAAGGGCAGTATATAAATCAAATTAAAAATAAAATTAAATTAAATTAAAAAAAGCATTCGTAAATTTGAAAAACGATCATAAATCATTTTTTTTAGTGCCATTGTAACTTTGAATGGTCACTAAACTAACTGTTGTAAGTCGAGGACTATCTGCAAGTTAATCAAAAAACCTATCTAACATGACTCTGCTTTTATAGTATCTCCCTCTTAACTCTTGGTCCAGTTATTTTGGGCTCTTGGGCGTTGTAGTCCGTAATACCGGGAAAGCTATCGGTTCCTCATTTTTATTGTAATTTTGTGTGATTCATTGACCTTCCATTGGCTCCAAGTGAATGGGGAAGCTAAGAAGTCTTGAGAACGAAAAAGTGAAAATTTGGAATAGATGGTATGCCTGGCTTGAGAGTAATTCTAAAACGTAAGGGATATTTTGTCATGAAACCGAATTGTGAATAGAAGTTATTATAATTCAGATAAGGATGTAAGTTAAGATAGAGATAGATAGAAGTAGAATTTGTGCATGGAAGTTTTTTTTTTTTTAATTTTAAAATTTGTAATTTTATTATAACACATATATGACATTCACATAACATACAACATATAAATATCTTATCATTTTTAAGCATCGTTTCATCGTGGTCTTCCTTCTGTTATTTTGTCTTTTTCCCCCTATGTCTTCATTTCATTCCTCTTGATGCTACACATACTTGATGCTACACATCTTAACAGCAGCACGAATAGTATATGCAAAAAATTGGAAACAGGAAAGAACTCCAAATGAGGAAGAATTGTTAGATAAGATTTTAGAATGTGCTGAAATGGACAGATTAACAAAAGAAATTAAAGAAAAAGAAGAGACAGACTATTATAGAATATGGAATAAATGGTATAAATGGCTTAAGACTAGAAATTGCTTAACGCACTGTAAGCTGCCCTGAGTCTCCGGAGAAGGGCAGCATATAAATCAAATTAAAAAAAAAAAAGAAATAAAGAATAAAGATTATTAGGAGAGAAGAGTATGACTATAAAATATATAAATAACAAATGTATGGAGTGAAATAAAAATGTGTATAACAAGAATGTAGAAATGTATAATATTAAAGATATAAGTAAAATATATAGATTTTTACAGGGTGGAAGGAAAAAAAAAGGAGAATGGTGCATGGAAGTTAATTAGGATAGTGATACCGTTGTAGAAAAGCTGTTACTAGTGTTTAAGTTTTGATGTGTTTATTTTTGTTTGTTTTTGTTGTGTGTTATGGTTTTCAATTTTTTGCTCTTTTCTATTTTTTGTACTGTGTATTTTAAGTTTGAAAATTTAATAAATATTATTTAAAAAAAGAAAAGAAAAAGTGAAAAATAGGCCATCGTTCAAGAAATGTTTGTTTGTGATGAAGAAAATGGTGGCTTTATAAATTAGCAAAAGAGATGGAACTAAAACAATCTGCCTACTGATTTTAATGAAGGAACCTGTTATTAATGACAGATGACCTTCTGAACAAACTTATGTTTTTTTTTCCCCCCCAGGATTATTTCCGCGAGTTCCTTGTTTATATAGAGAATCAGAAAAGTGCAATTCTGAGGAATAAAACGTGTATAGAAAAAGAAAGCCTAGATGTAATCGTAAGTGTTGATGTTGCTGGCAAGTCACTATGTAAGATTTTTTTTTTAAAGCAAATTACTTTTAATTCGTAAATGTGTAGAATGGCATCCTTCGTTTGGAGGAATCTGATAATAATAATGATGATGATGATGTCAGGCCTGAAGCGCCATCTTTTTTGTTGGATCTTCAGGCTTGACACATTTACTACTGTGGGAAACTGGGAGGGAGGATTGTATGGAGCATGGATGATATATAGTCATAACAACATTCCTTTCTCAGAAAGTCAAGGACAACTTGCCCTGCACCTGGACGGCTGGAACTGGGAGGCATCCCCAGTTGGGATGGTGCATTGATTGGACCATGTGATAAACATGTGGGTGCTGGCATGGACTTGAACCTGGAAACTTTCGGATTTGGGTTTTATTTATTTATTTATTATTTGAACATATATGCCGCCCTATCTCCGAAAGGACTCAGGGCGGCTCACAACAATAAAGCACACAAAGTTCAATTTTTTAAAAATACCCAATAAAACTATAAAAACCATTAAAATCCCCTCTAAAACCTCTTCAGTCCAAGCCGGCCAGGCGGAATAGCCATGTTTTAAGGCCACAGCGGAAAGAGCGAAGGTCAGGGGCCACCCGGAGCCCCAGGGGGAGCTGATTCCACAGGGTAGGTGCTCCCATAGAGAAGGCCCACTCCCTAGAGGTCGCCAGCTGACATTGTCTGGCCGATGGCACTCCAAGGAGGCCCTCCCTGTGGGAACGCACCGGGAGATGGGGAGCAGTCGCTGGCCGCAGATGGCCTGCCAAATACCCCGGGCCAAAGCCATGTAGGGCTTTATAGGTGATTACCAGCACCTTGTGCCAATATGACATCCCAGATGTGCCAATATGACATCTCTAATAAAAGGGAACTTTGAGGAAACTCAAGCCTCAGAGTTTTCTTTCGTTGGGGGTGTTACTTGGAACCCTGACAAATCATCATCATCATCATCATAGCCTTTATTGTCATTGTACATCATGTATACAATGAAATTGGTTTAGCCTCTACTGGTGCAATCCATAACAGAAAATACAAGACAACATGAATAGTATAGAGCCGTGATGGCGAACCTATAGCACGTGTGCCACAAGTGGCACGTGGAGCCATATCTGTGGACATGTGAGCATTGCCCTAGCTCAGCTCCAGCGCATATGCACGCGCCGGCCAACTGATTTTTGGGCCTTCCGGACCCACCAGAAGTCGGGAAACGGGCCGTTTCCGACCTCCAGAGGGCCTCCAGGGTGGGTGGGTGGGTGGGTAAGACCGTTTTCACCCTCCCCAGGCTCCAAAAAAGCCTCTGGCGCCTGGGGAGGGCGAAAAACAGGCCTACCTGGCCTACCATGCCATTGTGTTCCAAAAGCGGGGGGAGCACGGGGTGAGTCACATGAGCATGGGTGGGGGGGCGGGGCACATTAAATTATGGGTGTGGGCACGTGCGTGCGGGACCCCCCCCGCACTCACCCCACTTTTGGCACATGACGGCAATCATGGTTAGCCATCACTGGTATAGAGAATAATTCTTATACAAGTAATTGGGGGAAAAAAACATAGTCATACGTTTCCATATGTATGTGGAGTGATTGTGATTGTGTTTAGGAGTCTGACAGCCCATGAGTAGAAGCTGTTTTTAAACCTGTTTGTCCGGCTGGCTTTACTTCAATGTCTTCTGCCCGATGGTAAAAGTGAAAAGAGACACTGGCCGGGGTGTGAATCATCCCTAAGTATCTTCCTTACTCTGCTGAAACAGCAAGACCTGGTGATGTCATCCAGTGGTGTTAGAAGGCAGCCAGTGGTTTCTTGTGCCAAATTGATCACACTCTGTAGTGCCTTCCTGTCCGCAGCTGTTAAACCAGCATACCGTACTGTTTGTTCTGACCTAGGCTTCCTGAGTCAGTAAAACACATGAGTAGTCCCAAAAGCCTGTTTTATTTTAACAGCTGTGAATTCTGTTCAGTCACAGATGAGTCCCTAATAGTTGTAAAGAGTCCTTCAGGATAAGGCTGATAGTCACCCACCTTTATCTCCCTTGACACACTGCCAATTGGCAAAGCCACACAGAGGCCAAAATTAAACAGAGCTTCAGACTTTAAACTGCATAGAATTAACAACGTTGCTTCCTGCAAAGGCCCATGTGCCTTTGCTCCTCTTTTAAGTCTTATGGGAGGGGCCAAGCATCTTCAAGTCCTACTCCCAAGTTGTTCCTTTTGTTTTAACTGTTCTTGCCTTCTGGCAGCTCTGCACATGCGCGCACTGGGAACAGGCTCTCCCTGTTCCTCTGCTTTACTGAGGTCCGACTCTAGAGGCTCCGGAGGCAGCACGTACCTCCCACATGGCCCTTTCCCTGCCTCCGACGCAGAGCCCTCGTCCGAGCCTTCCCCAGACTCCAGGACTGGCCCATGTTCCTCCCCAGCCTCCTCACTGTTCGACTCTGCTGCCAGCTCCGTAGGCTGCTGGTGGACCGCAACACTGTTATACAGTATGTGAGGACACTTTCTATCGTAGACCGATAGAAAGAAGTCATCAGCTGTTGTTCCACCTGATTTTTCCGTAGGGCTAGATAGAGAATATATTGATCCCTGATGTATTCATTACCCAAACTAGATAACATCATCAGAGCTAGTCAACAATAATACGGTTCACTTAACAATGGCAGGAATTTGCTTAACAACCATGGCAAAAGAGGTCATAAAATTGGGCACTAAACTGCCTTGCTTAGTAATGGAAATTCTGGTCCCCATTTCAGTCATAAGTCGAGGACTACCTCTCATTTATGGACAAATGCTAGGACATATGAAGGGATTGTAAGAAGCCAGAAAGTCCTGAATTCAGAGCTCACTCACCATGGTTTTGAACTTACAAGGTGGCTTCATGCCTGATTGTCATTAATTCTCTTCATTTACAGTTGTCAGAAAAAAATATGCAGGATGTTTGGAGGAGCCCTGGTAGCACAGTGGTTAAAGTACAGTATTGCATGGCTTAGGGCCTGGTTATTTACGGGACCGCCTACTACCACCAATAGCCTCCCACCGGCCAGTACGCTCTCATAGAGAGGGACTCCTCCGGGTGCCGTCAGCCAAACAGTGTCGACTGGCGGCCCCTAGGGAGAGAGCCTTCTCTGTGGGGGCACCTACCATCTGGAATGAGCTCCCCCCGGAGATACGGAGGATCCCGGATCTGCGTTCCTTCTGCCGTGCTGTGAAGACCTTTTTATTCCATCAAGCGGGCTTGGCCTGATCTCTTCCCTTTTTAAAATATGTAAATTTTAATCTGTTTTTAAATTATTGGGGTATTTTAATTTGTCTGGGCCAAAAAGTTTAATTTGATTTTATCGGGTTTTTAAATTTTGTGTATTTATGTATTTTATTGTTGGCTGTTCACCGCCCTGAGTCCTTCGGGAGTAGGGCGGTATACAAATCAAATAAAACCTAAACCTAAACCTAAAACCTAACTGCCCACAGCCATGAGTTCGATCCTGACAAGGCTCAAGGTTGACTCAGCCTTTTATCTCTTTGTGGTTGATAAAATGAGGACCCAGATTGTTAAGGGCAATAGACAAATAATGCTGACATGGTAAGCTGCCCAGAGAGTGTCAGAGTTCCAAGTAACATACTCATAGCAAACAAAACCCTGAGGCAGGCAATTTCCTCAAAGAATAGGTTTATTGGATATGTCATATTGGCACAGGCTGGTGAAAACCAACTCTGAATATTCCTGCGGTTTCCACCTAATTCAAAGTAAAAGTTTGTCACTTTCTCAAAACAATAGTCACATGGTCCAATCAGGATACTGTCCAGTTGCTAGGTGATTCCAGTCCCCTCCTTCCGAGCACCTGCAGGAATGTCCTTGGTTCCCAAGAGAAAATATTTTGTTTTGACTACAACACCCCAAATATCTCTATTCCCCCCTCCCTATCCGTCTTCTCCAGTGTGTCAGCACTGAAGTCAGGCCAGCTTCAGGGTTAACACCTTTTTCTTTCTGTGGACTTCCGAAAGAAATCAACAGAGACCTTGAAGAAAGAGATGGAGGATACATTTGAGGGGCTACGCCGCTTTCTGAACAGTGAAGAGCATACTCAGATCAGCAAAATCAACGAGGTGGAAAAAATAGTTTCCCAGAAGCGGGAGGAACGAATGGATGAGCTTTTTCAGGAATTCTCTTCTTGCGATAAGATGATGCGAGAATTGCAAAAGAAATGTAGCCAGCAAGCAAATGATCTCCTGCAGGTAAGATGGTAGAAATTTCTTAGGAGACGTTTATTACCAAAATAACTAAATTCTGCTTCTGTGTTCATTATTTATCAGTTGGAAACCTGGAGCTCTGCAGACAGTAAACTTCAATTCCCAACAGCCAAAAGGTGTTGAATGCTGGGAGTCGTAGTTTAATTGCATCTAAACTGCCACAGGCCATGTGTTCCCATTGGCACAATATTAGATGGGTTACTCAGAAGTATGTTCCACATTGTATTTATTGAACCCTCCTCCTAGTAGGAGTGGGAACCTGAGGCCAATCAGAGAACTAATTGGTTGCCACAATATAAAAAAGATGTTGAGACTCTAGAAAGAGTGAAGAGAACAGCAACAAAATTCTCATATTTATTTATTTATTTATTTATTTATTTATTTATTTATTAATTTATTAATTTATTTATTATTTATTTATTTATTTATTTATTTATTTATTTATTTATTTAATTATTTAATTAATTAGATTTTTATACCGCCCTTCTCCTACTGGACTCAGGGCAGTGAACAGCCAAGAATAAAAACATCACATGCAAAATTTAAGATTAATTTTAAAAGAATTAAACAAGTTTTGGCCCAATATAAAATTTAAAACACCCCAACTAAAATCAATTAATAATTAAAAATATCTAGGGTGTGTGTGTGTCAAGCCAGCCCAGCTTGATGAAATAAAAAAGTTTTAAGGGCACGGTGAAAAGCACAGAGATCTGGGATCCTACGTATCTCCAGGGGCAGGTTGTTCCAAAGGACAGGTGCTGCCACAGAGAATGCCCTCCCCCTGGGGGTCGCCAGCTGACATTGCCTGGCCGATGGCACCCTGAGGAGTCCCTCTCTGTGGGAGTGTACTGGACGGTGGGAGGCTATCGGTGGCAGAAGGCGGTTCCGTAAGTACCCAGGCCCTAAGCCATGGAGCGCTTTAAAGGTGGTAACCAACACATTGAAGCGCACCCGGAAGACCACCAGGAGCCAATGCAGTTCGAGCAGGAGAGGTGTCACATGGGAGCACCCCATTGTTCCCATAATCCCCTGTGCGGCCGCATTCTGCACCAGTTGGAGCCTATGAGTTGCTATCAACATTTTAACTTTCAGAATGGTTTGTGACCAGTACTGAAATTGTTTTCTTTTTCATCTAGGATATAAGCAGCACTCTGGAGAGGTAAGTTGATCCAAAAACAATCTATATATATAAAAGCGAAAACCACTTGCGCCGTAATCACGAAATCTCGAGAACCGTAAAGCCTACAAACTTGAAATTTGCCACGTATGTTCCTCTTGGCTTCTAGGCGCTCCCTAAGAAAGGATTTTTCGAAATGACCATCAGAGCATTAGTATTTCCTATATTATTATTAACATGCTCTGGTGCTAAGGAGTTCTACTCCCCCTCCCCACCTGAAAAGAAATCTGTTCCAAATGCAAAACACAAGCAGAGGAGAGGAGTTTCAGTTTCAGTTTTACTTTCACAGCAGAAAGCAGCTTTACTACAGAACAGTTGAGCTAAGCCATGCCCAGCCTCCTTCCTGTCTCCTTGCTCACACAGCAATTCTTGATGAACGTATCTTTTATTTTATGTACACTGAGAGCATGTGCACCAAGACAAATTCCTTGTGTGTCCAATCACACTTGGCCAATAAAATTCTATTCTATTCTATTCTATTCTATTCTATTCTATTCTATTCTATTCTATTCTATTCTATTCTATTCTATTCTATTCTATTCTATTCATACTGTTTGAGTTTCCAAACACCCCTCAACTCTGTCATACACTGACAGGATGCTAGCCAAATGAATACCGATGGATCAGTGGTGGGTTGCCCCCAGTTCAGACCGGTTCACAAGAACTGGTAGTAAAACTGGCGGGAGGCCCTGCCCACTGCCCTGGATGTTCTGCATGTGCAGAAGCAAGGCACGCTCGCGAGCAATCCTGTTGCGAACCAGTAGTAAAGGTAAGTAAAACCCACCCCTGTGATGGATGCTGCGGGCTGGGACATTCTACTCCCCCTCCCCCTCTGTTCCAACTGCCAGTTGCATTATATTAACACACTGATGTTACGGAGTTACACATTCTACATTAAGTTTCAGACTGCAATTCTCAATTTATCAAGCCTGAGCACATAATTTCGTAGTGAAGCACGGGCATCCAGCTAGTATATGAATAAATAAATGAAAAAAAAAAAAGAAAGTGAATTAATACCCCATTTCCTACCAGGTGTAAAAAGAAGGAGATTCTGCAACATCTCAAGCTTTTCCCTCCTAACCATCAATGGGAATTATGGAATGTTTGGGATGCTAACATCTTTCTGAAGTGTGCCATCAATCAATTCCAAGGTAAAGAAGACGCTGGCCAATATATACTGGCAGTCCTCGGCTTACGACCACAATTGAGCCCAACATTTCTGTTGCTAAGTGAGATAGTTGTTAAGAGAGTTTCATCCCATTTTATGACGTTTCTTGCCACAGTTGTTAAGTGAAACCCTGCAGTTGTTAATACCACGGTTGCTAAGTGAATCTGGCTTCCCCCTTGACTTTGCTTGTCAGAAGGTCGCAAACATGACCATGGGACACTGCAACCATCTTAAATACCTGCTAGTTGCCAAGCATCCAAATTTTGATCGTGTGACCATGCTGACACTGCAATCGTCGTAAGTGTGGAAAACGGTCATAAGTCACTTTTTTCAATGCTGTTGTTAACTTTGAACGGTCGTTTAAATGAACGGTTGTAAATCGAGGACTACCAGTACCAGGCTCTCTTGGTTGTCATGCTTCTACACACCAATCACCCCAAGCCCCATTAAACAAATTCCTTTATATCAGTGTTTCTCAACCTTGAAAGCTTGAAGATGGGTGGACTTCAACTCCCAGAATCCCCCAGCCAGCATTGCTGGCTGGGGGATTCTGGGAGTTGAAGTCCACCCATCTTCAAGCTACCAAGGTTGAGAAACACTGCTTTATATTGTAGTTTTGGATTTTTTTTTTTGCTATTTTGCATACCTGTGTGCTTTATAAAGTCAGCTCAGTTATTTTCTTATTTGGTGCTGCATTGAAATAAAACGAAGGGAACTGTTGACTTAAGAAGAAGGGCCATCTGCATGCCAGCAGGGGGAGTAATAGAGAGTATTAAAAAGAACAAATGAAGACAATTTGCATGATCAGACTTTGTTTTCTTCTCCAGAAACTCTGCCGTTGGGGTTGTCCCTGCAGCAAGGTAAGTTTCCAGACTAGCATAGACAAAGTTAGGAGAGAGGGAGGCTTTTCAAGACCTCTTTCTTGCCATCTTCATCATCTTCTTTTAACATAATCCCTTGCGGGGTAGAGTCTGGGTAACAGAATGGAGCTGAGTGTTTATTGGCCAGATGCCCTTCCTGTCGCCAATGCGGAGTTTTGTTCAGCAGGTCATTGTGCCCAGAGAGAAAAATATCTGCCTTTACTTAGGATTGAACTCACAGCCTCCTGATTGTGAGACGAGAGCTCCACCTCTAAGCCACTATACCGCTCCTCTTTCGTGCCATCTTAATAGCATTTAATTCAAAAAAAGTTATTTGCCTCCATACATGCCTTTTCAGAGACAGGATGGAAGAGAATCCACATTTGATCACACCAGCTTTCTGTGACTTTAAAGATGGGTTTTAGAGAGGGAGGTGGGGCTATGATTATATTGTTTAACTATTGGTTTTATTTATTATGGATTTATTTTTTTATTCATTGGCTAGAGTTTCTTTTATCTCTCTCTCTCATTTTTTTAAAATAGTATTTATTGAAATTCCAACATATAAAACATACAGTAGAAAAAAACACAACACTAAAAAAAAAACACTAAAAAAGACATATCAAAAATTTTATACTAATAACAGCTTTTCTATATCGGTATCTCTATCATAACAAACATATTTACAAAAATTTTAATTCTATATATATCTGTCTTAAATTACATCCTTATTTGAATTGTAATAACCTCTATAACCGCTGGCCCCTTGGTCGGCACACTTTGGGGCTGCACAGCCCGCGCAGCACAGGTGAGTTGATTACCTGTTCAAGCAGCAGGAAGAGGGGCAAGGAAGGGAGGGGATGCAGGCGATCCAGATGCGCTACGCAGGAAAGCCAAGAGTCAGTGACCCGGAGCGAGTGGCCAGCCACAGAAAGCTCATCTTTGTGCAGTGGTACCAGCAGCAGACGGAGGCAGAGGCGTGGGGTGGGGTAGAAGGCAAGTGATCCCGATGCACCGCGTGGGCTGCAGGGAAGCCAAGAGAAATGAAGATGAGCCTCCCGTGGCTGCCACCCGCTCTCGGCTTTCCCTTAAACCATGTGTTGGGACCGCCCCGTGCCTCTGCTTCCATCTGCTGCTGGTACCTCTGCATGAAGACCAGCCTCCTATGGCCTCCCGCCTGGGCTGCTTCACTAGGTCTTATTTTTGGGGTAGAGATTATATTAGGCTCACGCTTAAAAATCGGGCTACGGCTTATTTTTGAGGTAGGTCTTATTTTTGGGGAAACATAGTTGCTCTCCCAACTGTCATGCTTGCTTATCTCCATCTTTTACTTCTTCCCTCTTCCAGCGGTGATAACTTTAGACAAGGAGACGGCTCATCCCTTGCTCATCCTATCGAAGGACTGCAAAAGCGTGACTCTGGGAAACGAGGTGCAATACTATCCAAAGACTCATAAACGATTTGACACGAGCCACAGCGTGCTGGGTTGTGAGGAGTTAAAGGAGGGCCGGAACTATTGGGACATTTCCATGGGCAACGATGGGGAATGGACTGTGGGTGTGGCCCGAAAATCTGTGAAGAGGAAGAATGCAATCTCCATTGAGCCCAAAAGTGGCATTTGGGCCATCGGGAAGCGTGCCAATGAATATTTTGCTTTTGACTCTCCAAATTGTTCTCGGCTGCAACCCAATCGGGAGCTGAGAAGGATTCGGGTGTTTTTTAATTACGTCGGGAAGCATGTGTCTTTCTTTGACGCCGATGAAGCAAGCATACTCCATCATACCTACACAAGCACGGTCTCCAAAGAGGCCTTTGTTCCTTTTTTTCACCTCTCTCACAAGGCTGTTCTCACACTGACTCCCTAAACTGGCTGGAAGGAAGGACGTCGGTGGTTTTTAAAAGCCCCACACTCCAATTTTCATGACGCATCCATACAAAGGAGACAAGCAACACATCAACCACACCTTTAGTTTGCCCCCTTTTTTTATTTTTGGACTCTTGTCCGATTCTAATTTTTTTCAAAATGCCAGCTTCTTGCTTCTAACCAAGCATCTTTCCAAAGGATTTTTTTTTTTAAACAGGAGAAGCTTTTAAAGCAAACTCTAAATGTACACTTCACATAGAGCACGGGTTAACGTTTTAAGTTTGTGTATCTGAAACTCAAGGTGGTGGGATTGTTGTGGTTTTCATTGCTGAGATGTATTAAAAACTGGTTGAGTTTATGTCTGCTTCCTTTCCTTTTTTTTTTTCTTTTCAGCTTTAGAAAAATATTGTGCAAGTACAGTTAGTCCTCGATCTACGACCACAACTGACCTGAAAAATGTATGTTGCTAAGCGAGACATTTGTTAAATGAGTTTTGCTCCACTTTACAACTTTTCTTGCCACAGTTGTTAAGTGAATCATTCCAGTTGTTAAGTTAATAACATGGTTGTTAAGTGAATCTGGCTTCCCCCATTGACTTTGCTGGTCGCAAAAGATAATCATGTGACACCTCCCCCCCCCCCGGGGACACTGGAAATGTCATAAATATGAGTCACTTGCTAAGCGCCTGCATTTGGATAATGTTACCATCGGGATGCAGCAATGGTTGTTAAGTGTGAAAAAGGGTCATAACTCACTCTTTTCAGTGCCATTGTTAACTTCGAAGTCATTCAATGAACTGTTGTAAGTTGAGGACTATCTGTAGTCCTCTCCTTGCAACAGTTCCATTTCACGACCGTTCAAAGTTACAATAGCACTGTTGGCTTTGTTTTGAAACCTTCTTATCCTTCATGCAATGGCTGGAGGTTCTTTCTGAGTTTGATCATTCTTTCCACAGGATTCAATGTTAAGATCAGGATTTTTCTTTTGGATAAAGATAGACTTGCTCATGTCCCAAAGGTCCTTTTTCAAGGTACTTTGTCCAGTTGTCTCTCGAAAAAAGCACCTTTGGGACAATCATGACCTGGATGACTGAGAATCTCCACAGACTTATATAACTTGCTCATATTTAGATCCAGAATTTAATACGGTAAGACTAAATGATTACGTCAAAGGCCTTTCTTTCAGAAAGTCCCGCCTTCCCTTTACTGCAGTGTAGGAAGTTAAAATCCACCCCTCTCCTAGAAAAATGAAATATTTTAGGAAATATTAAAAGGGCAGAATATTTACCCTAAAAGGGAGGCAGAAACTCACCCTTTTTTTAATGGGCCATTAAGGCCTGAGCCAGTCCATTCTACATAACAAAGATCTACCTCCTTCAGGCAGAGCCATTTAATTGCCCTTCATTGCATTACCCAGCAAGATTTAACCAAACTTAACACACAGACAACCTAAAAAGCTAGCTATGACCTCTGACAGCAACCAATCAGGGTACTCTTCCTGTGCCCCAGGAAGTTCAAAGCCAGAGAGCTCGGCATCTCTTCCCTTTTTTTGCCCAGGATCTCAAGCCATGTGATCCTGTTCATCAATAAAACTCCTTTCCAAGCAATTGCCATGAATCCAGTGTCTTTTTCCCCACTTGAACCCAGAAGGATATTTCTTCCAACAGCTGTTAAGTATTCAGCGTTTCAGCGTTTTAAGAGACGCGGTGGCTCAGTGACTTAAGACTTCGTCGATCGAAAGGTCGGCAGTTCAGCGGTTCAGATCCCTAGTGCTGTGTAACAGGATGAGCTCCCGTTACTTGTCCCAGCTTCTGCCAACCTAGCAATTCGAAAGCACGTAAAAAATGCAAGTAGAAAAATAGAGACTTTGGTGGGAAGGGAACAGCATTCCGTGCGCCTTTGGCATTTAGTCATGCTGGCCCCATGACCATGGAGACGTCTTCGGACAGCACTGGCTCTTCGGCTTTGAAACAGAGATGAGCACCGCCCCCTAGAGTCAGGAACGACTAGCACATGCGAGGGGAACTTTTACCATTATTCAGCATTTGAAACTACAGTTTATGAAGCCAATAAGCATTGCTTGGATACCAACTCTCTAACTTCTGTCACTTTTAAGACAATTTCCCAAGAGGCTTTTTTGATGAGGACAGATGAATAGAGCAGCTGCCTCAAGGGAACGAGCAACTAAATTAGAGAGCCTGGACTTTAATTCTTTACTGTAAAAATCAACTCACACTCTCCATTTGCAAGACCCACTCCAGCATATTCAATTTGTTTAATGAAAGCCCAAGGGACTTGTTAACATGATTACTATTATTATTTCCATCATAATTCCTATTGGATGTCTTTGTGTATTGCCTGCATACAGAGTTCACTTCCTGTCATCTTTTTCTTTTACTTCTCATAATATCTCATGCAGGGGAAGTGCAGATAAAGTACTCAGTTCTTGGAGGATAAAACTTAACAGTATGCTATTTATTTCAGAATCTGGTGAAATAAAATAACTAATCAAAAGGGTTTAGAAATAACAGAGCTTCAATAAAAAAATGTATTTGCATTTCATCATTGTAACTCTGTCCCTTAACACTTAAGTTTCTCAAGAGAAAGTACATTACAGCTGCATTTGCTGGTCTGTGACTGTAATAAAGATTGATGTTACAATTGCCCACTGGAAGGTTGTCTCATAATAAAATTCCATAATAAAATTCATATACCCCTGCCCGTCACCCAGCAGGAAATACAGAAAAAGAACTCCATTTTGGGCTCCCCAATTTAAGTGATCCCTCAATGAACCACATTCCCATCATTGCCAATTAAAATGGTTTGCTGTCTGTAAATGAGGGAAGTTGTCCCACATGTGAGTGCATTTGGGAAACTCTGATCCAGATTGTGAAAGAAACAAACTACGATTGGGGTATTTAAGGAATCGACCTGTGGTTTTGTTGGTATCTGACTGACTGACTCTCTCTCTCTCTCTCACTCATCTAGGTATAGCAGTGAAAGTATTGAACTTGGAGTGGGGAGACCCAAGTTTGAATCCCCTTCCCACCACAGAAGTGGGGAATAACAGAATAACAGAGTTGGAAGGGATCTTGGAGATCTTCTAGTCTAGTCCAACCCCCAGCTGAAGCAGGAAACCATTTCAGACAAATGGCTGCCCAATCTCTTCTTTAAAACTTCCAGAGTTGGAGAACCCAAAACTTCTGGAGACAAGTTGTTCCACTGATTAATTGTTCTGTCAGGAAATTTCGCCTTAGTTCTTGGTTGGTTGTCTCCTTGATTAGTTTCCATCCATTGCTTCTTATCTTGCATGCATCTGAACTTTGGAGAATAGTGTGACCCCTTTCTTTGTGACAGTCTGAGTCACTGCACCACTGAATTAACATGGTGTTGTAGGAGTTGGGAGAAACTGGATGGGGACTTTGGGCCAGTTCTTTTCTGTCAGTCCTGGATTGAATAATTGGGGGGGGAAACCCCCAATGTGTCCATTATTAATGAGCTGGATTATGGTGCATATTTTCAATGAACAGGTCTTCATTCAATACTGGATTGATTCAGGCCAATTCAACTGTTATAGATACAAACGACTGAAGGATTTTAAATATTTACACGTTCCACCCTTCAAAGTAAAGTTTCCTCACACTGCCTTGCAAATCTCAGTTGAGAGGTTTACAATTATGCGCAGCATCTCTGCCCCCCTTTTTCTGTTCAGGAACTCAAACCATGTGATCCTGTCCACCATTAAACCATCTTTCCAAGCAGTCTCCATGTTTCCAGTGTCTTTTTCCCCACTTGGAGCTGAACCCAGAAGGATATTTCTTCCTACACTGCCTTGCAAATCTCAGTTGAAAGGTTTACAATTAAAACATTAAATACCATTAATAATTGTTGCTAAGCAGTAAATCACAAATAAAATGTGAAAGTTTCAAGATTTACGTTAACACATATTTTAACATTAAAAACATCCGACCTAAATTATCCCACACATTTTTATGTTCTGTTCTCAGGATAACGTATCCTCAATCGACTAAAGGGAATTGGGTGCCTCGTGGAAGTGTCACGATTACCATTTTTTTTTATTGCTCGTTTTCAATTTTTGTCCATTGCTCCTCAGAACAAAGTTGCAGTAAAGTTTTCCTAGCAAGCAGTTACTTCCCTTGCATTAATCCGGATATACTAATTCTTATGTTTCACATCAGAATCGCTACTTAGGAGATAATAAAATAAAATAAATAAATAAAATAAATAAAATAAAATAAAAGCACCTCCAATTATCTCATGAATCATCCCACACTATTTGCAATTTTTTTTAAAAAAAAAATCTACTGTATGCAAAGGCCGCATGCAAAAACTTCCATCTTCCTTATGTCCTCCAACCAGCCAAACTTCTGCAAAACCGAAAGAAACGGAACGTCTGTCAAAAGAAAGGCGAGGATTCCCTCAGCGCGAAATTGCTACCAATTTCAGCCAATCATAATTGCCCTTTTGCTCAATTCTCTTGTGAAAGCCCCAATCCCGAAGCGGCTGTTCGGCGTGGGCGAGGCCAGACGCAGCAGAGCATTTCGGGAATGGTAGTTTAATATTTGCCTATAAAGGCAGGAGTAGGAAAGGGGATTTTTTTTTTAAGGTAGAGGGAAAGAGCGCCGCCTTGTAGGTTTGTGATGTTTGTCTGTACGCGCGTCTCTCCTTTGGTGATGACGAAAACCTGATTTATAAAGCTGAGTGGTTTCATAAAAGGCCATTAAAAAAAAATCTGAGAAGTGTTAAATTGGGCCCTTTCTGTTTTGAGTCCTGTTTCCTTTAGTATCTCTAGCTTTAATTAATGCTTTAAATCAATGTCCTCCCAAGATGCTTGCAGAAATTGTTCCTGTTGTTACTGCTGAACAGATGTTGTTAATGTGTGTTCCAAGGGAAATGTACCTCTTGGAGAAAGTCCGGACTTTGTTTCTGCTATTTCTAGGGAGACCTAAAATTTGAGACAGTTTATTTAGTTATTTGTATCCTGCCTTTTTTATTTCTTGCAAATAACTCAAGGCAATAAATATACCCAACACACCTTCCTCCTCCTATTTTCCGCACAACAACAACCCTGTGAGGTGGGCTGGGCTGAAAGGGAAGGATTGGCCCAAAGTTGCCCAGCTGGTTTTCGTGGCTAAGGCAGGACTGGAACTCAAATCTTCTGCTTTCTAGCCTGGTGATTTAACTACTAGACCAAATTGAATTGAATTTGAATTTGAATTTGTTTTGGGTTTTTTTTGCTTTTATTGTATTTTAATTTAATTTAATTTCTATTTTTTATCCAGCCTTTATTATTTTTTCAAAAATCCTCAATCCTAGATGCAATCCTATTAATGTTGAGCTAGAAGAATACATTCTTAACTTATGTTGGTGGTGGCTGCTTGAATGGCAAAAGTCTAAATGCTACTTAGAAATACCAACTGAAAGATGCTAAATAGAACTGAGGTGATTTAGTAGATTTTAATCTCTGTAATTTGTGTTACTCATGGATCAAATGAAGAGAAAATAAAGCGTTAACTGCTTTATCAAGTAATACGTATGATAGATTTGCGTGTTTTGTGAATGGTTGCTATTTACAGATAATGCAAAATGTGTGTGGGGGGGGTTGCTTAAATTTAATTAGCTCCTTTTCTAATTAAATATTTTGATTAAAAGGCAATACACACACATACACACAATAATGCTTCATGGATTTGATGAAATGGAATGGGTTTCCAAAAGTAACACTATCACATAATTTGCTATAATATTCGTCTTCAAGACACTACAAAACTGTATTTTTGCTGTAACAAACAACAGATAATTTCTGAATGCTATTGTTTTCTGAAATTATGTAATAGTTACTCAAACTAGTAATAAACTAAACTAGGTTTGAGCCAAGGGGGTTGATAAAAATGGAACCCTTCAATGCATGTGAGTGAATCTTACATACATACATACATACATACATACATACATACATACATACATACCCTGTTTCCCTGAAAATAAGACATCCCCTGATAATAAGCCCAATTGGGCTTTTGAGTGCATGCACTAAAATAAGCCTCCCCCTGAAAATAAGCCCTCCCCAAAAATATTTAAACGCAGAGCTGGAAATCAGGTAAGATGGCAAGAGGAGCCCCATCTTGCTTGACGTGCCCCGAAATAATATGACCTCCCTGAAAATAAGGCCAAGTGCTTATTTCGGGGTTCAAAAAAATATAAGACAGGGTCTTATTTTCGGGAAAATACAGTGTATACACTTGTGGAACCTTCAAGTTTTGGAGGAGCAGTAAACAAAGGTCAACTTTCAAAATGGGAATTTTCCAAATTGATTTATTGAAAAGTCATGGAGCAAATGCTAGTTGCTTAATGACAGAGAGCTATGAAAAAAGAAAGGGAAAGAATCAGCATCTTGGAAAAGTGTGACTGTCTGGAATCAAGGTATTGTTGATTTATCACCCTCCCCCAATTTATATAGTCGTGTAGAGATTGTAGGAGGAGAGTCACAATAGTCTCTGGTTGTAAAACATCAGAAGGATTCTAAGAACACGTTTTCTGCTGATTGTGCCTTTTTAGCACAGAGCAAAATAACAGAGTGGGAAGGGACCTTGGAGGTCTTCTAGTCCAACCCCTTGATGTACCATTTCAGACAAGGGGTTGTGTCAGCCTGCATCTTCACTTTCTTTCAAGCTTGCTGCCAGTTGCCATGGAAATGGTGGTGGGAGTGTTGCAGAAGATGGAAATGAAATTTCTGAGAAGCGGAGAGGAGACCTGGTCTCAGGGAGGCCAGCTTAGGTTGTTTAATATTTTTCAAGGCCAACTGCCCAGGCTTCGGAATGTATGAAGGAGGAACAGTGCACCTGGACCAGAGACTTCCCCAAATACATATTTCTGGCCGATGATTGAACTCTGGTTGCCTGGCTACCGGGTGGTGGGCTCTGGGGGTTTGCCTCAGCTTGTTTCTTTGCGTGAATTTTCTTCAGATCTTGCCTGACCATTGCTGTATTCAGTTCATTCCTAGTAAAAGTATATTTTCTCTAAATTTATGGAGTCAAGGTTTTTTTCCCCTAGGGATTGAGTGGAGGCAGCCCTTGACAGGTTGTCCAATCTCTTCTTAAAAACCTCCAGTGATGGAGCACCCACAACGTCTGAAGGCAAAGCTGTTCCAATGGTTGATTGTCCTCACTGTTAGGAAGTTTCTCCTTAATTCCAAGTTGCTTCTCTCCTTGATTAGTTTCCAGTCATTGCTTCTTGTTGTGCCTTCAGATGCTTGTTAAGTTATTCTAGCAGTGGGAGAGGCCTAATTATTGGCTCTTTCTTTTGAAGGCACTGGTTGACATACCACCCAAACACTGAAAATGTTATTCATATATTTTGAATGGGAGATCACATATTTCAGGAAGGAGGGATGATTGTGGGGATTGCAATATGCCGATCCTAGTTCCTTTCTGTTCCATACCAGAATCTGTTCTTTTTCTGCAGCTCCAGAGCACAGGAGATTGCTATTAACTCCTTCAGCTGTTGCCTTTTGCCGCCCCAGTGAAGAAACTGAAATAGCTTTCCCAATTCTGGTAGAAGAAGAGACATGGATCTGCAGCAGATTGTACAGAAGCTACTACGAGAACTAACCTGCTCCATTTGTTTCAGGAATTTCTTAAATCCGACAACGCTTTCCTGTGGGCACAATTTCTGCCATTCCTGCCTTGTGAGTTACTGGGGCCAATTTCCCATCGGGACCACATGCCCTCATTGTCAGGAGCAAGTTCCTCAACTGACCTTTATACCAAACGTCCAGCTGACGAATATTATAAAACTGGTCGAAGAGTTGTGCATTGATATAAAGCAAATCGCAACAGAGGGCCGTGTTTGTAAGAAGCACCCTCCAACTCTCAAGGCTTTCTGCAGGAATGAGCTTGTCCTCTTCTGTTCGATGTGTGATTTATCTCAGGAGCATCTGACTCACGATGTTATCCCTGTGGCTGAAGCTGCCCAAGAGTACAAGGTGGGAATCTTTGATGGAAGCTGCCCTTGTCAGTTGTTGGAGGTCGTCTAGACCAGGGGGTCCCCAACAGTGGTGAAATGCAGATTTTTTTTTTTGCTACGGGTTCTGTGGGCGTAGCTTGGTGGGCATGGCACTTTTGAGACAACCATGACCTGGATGACTGAGAATCTCCATAAACACTCAGAGGCAGAACATAAAGAGAAGGTGAAGTGGGATGGAGGAAAAAGAGTCAGAGGACTGAGACTATTGCAAACTGGGACTATTTGATGATAAGGTGAAGGTAAAGGTTCCCCTTGCACATATGTGCTAGTCGTTCCTGACTCTAGGGGGCGGTGCTCATCTCTGTTTCAAAGCCAAAGAGTCAGCGCTGTCCAAAGACGTCTCTGTGGTCATGTGGCCAGCATGACTAAACACCAAAGGCACATGGAACCTTCCCACCAAAGGGGGTCCCTATTTTTCTACTTGCATTTTTTACGTGCTTTGGAACTGCTAGGTTGGCAGAAGCTGGGACAAGTAACGGGAGCTCACCCCATTAGGCAGCACTAGGGATTCGAACCGCTGAACTGCTGACCTTTCGATTGACAAGCTCAGCGTTTTAGCCACTGAGCCACCGCGTCCCCTAATGACAGCCTCCTACTATTTGCTGATTATCTTGTGATGATAGCCTCCTAGTATTCTATGATTATCTCTATCTTTTTTTCCCCCTTCTAGGGCCAGTTGTTAAATGTCATGGGGACTTTAAAGAATGAGAAAAAAAGGTTTTCAAAACATCGCACGGACGAAGGAACTGAAGTTGTCTTCCTAATTGTATGTGTTACCAAGAAATAGCTTTTCTTTTTAATGCTGTTTGAAATACTTGCCTAAAATAGTTTAGTCGTCTTCACGGATATTCTAAGAATCAGCATTTTGGAAATCTTGCAAAGCTTCACCTGAGTTTTATTTCTGGAGACCAAATAGGCAGCTCGATATTCTTTTCAACCATAGGGAAGTAATTTACCATAGTGGTTTGCCAAGATGGGATTTTTTAAATGTTTATTTTCTGATCTACAACCATTGGATTCTTTAGTGTTCTTCCATCCAAGTTTTCCCGAAGGTGATTTTTCAAGAGGCAGTTGGACTTATTTTGTTTTTCCTTGAAGACGTTTCACTTCTCATCCAAGAAGATTCTTCAGTTCAGTTCAGTTCAGTTTAGTAGAACTGAAGAAACTTCTTAGATGAGAAGCGAAACGTCTTCAAGGAAAAACAAAGTCCAATTGCCTCTGGAAAAAGCAGGCAGAATTGAGAATCTCCATAAACATTCCATCCAAGTTTTAACTGGGTCCAAACCTGCTTAGTTTTTTTTAAGATTAGTCAAGACTGACTTGGTGCTGCTGTCTGCTGGGAAATTTTCTGTAAAATGTGATGTGTTTAAAAAGCCACTAAGGCTAAACAAGGAGTAGGTAACCTTTGGAAGGCTGGTTAAGGACGCAGATTAAGGACGTTGAGTATGACATAAATACCCCATAAAAAGCTTGCCATAAGCAATGTTGCCAGCCACTACTTCCTGAGTGCAAATATTCCATGATGCTTGTCAGCATTACAAGAATGCATGAATTAGACAAGAAGCACAGTCTAACTCTAGTTTATTATAAGCTTACATTAATAAGGCTGAAAATACAGTTCTGCCCCATCACCTTTACAGCCTAAGAAAGGAGGGAGGATTCCTTCAAGAGATATTTGCCACACCTACCTTCCTTCTGTGGGCTAAGTGGCATCTTGTCCACTGTTCCTTTGGGTGTACCATCAATCAATCAATCAACCAACCAATCAATCAATCAATCAATCAATCAATCAGAATAGAGCTAGAAGGGACCTTGGAGGTCTTCTAATCCAGCCCCTGCTCAAGCAGGAAAGCCTATACCAGGGATGGCTAACCTTTTTGCCATCGTGTGCCAAAAGTGGAGGGAACGCGGGGGGGTGTCGTGCGCATGTGTGCCCACACCCATAATTCTATGCATCCCACTCCCTCGCACATGACCCCCCTGCACTCCCCCCTGCTTTTGGCATGCGATGGCATGGTGGGCCCATTTTTTCGCCCTCCCCAGGCTCCAGAACCTTTCTAGGAGCCTGGAGAGGGCGAAAACGGCCTTCCCCATCTCCCCCGGATGCCCTCCAGAGGCCGGAAACATCCAGTTTGCTGACTTTTGGTGAGACCGGAAGGCCGTTTCCCTACTTCCAGTGGGCCCAAAAGGCCTGAAAATAAGCTGAGCTCACGTGCCCACCGATATGGCTCCACGTGCTACCTGTGGCACGCGTGCCATAGGTTTGCCATCACGGGCCTATACTATTTCAGATAAGCGACCATCTGGTCTCTTCTTAAAAACATCCAGTGATGGAGCACTCACAACTTCTGATGGCAAATTGTTCCATTGGTTAATTGTCCCCACTGTTAGGAAGTTTCTCCTCAATTCAGGTTATTATTGACTTTGCTTGTCAGCAGGTCACAAAAAGTGATCACATAACCCCAGGACATTGCAACCATCATAAATATGAGCCAGTTGCCAAGCATCCAAATTTTGATCATGTGACCATGGGGATGCTGCAACCGTTGTAAGTTTGAAAACCGGTCATAAGTCACATTTTTCACTGCGGTTGTAATTTCGAATGGTCACTAAATGATAGCATCATTGATAGATAGCATCAGCACCAGATGGATTCACAACTGGCTGACAAACCGTACTCAGTCTGCATGGACTGAGTCCGGGTCTAAGTCTGCATGGAGGGAAGTAAGCAGTGGGGTGCCACAAGGTTCCATCTTAGGCCCAGTACTCTTCATAAATGACTTAGATAAGGGAATAGAAGGGGAATTTACCAAATTTGCAGATGATACTAAGCTGGCAGGAATAACTAACACCCTAGAACCGTGATGGCGAACCTATGGCACGCGTGTCACAGGTGGCATGCGGAGCCATATTGGTGGGCACGCGAGCTCAGCTCCGGAATGTATGCGCGCGCTGGCCAGCTGATTTTTGGGCCTTTTGGGTCCACTGGAAGTCAGGAAAAAGGCTGTTTCCGGCCTCCGGGGGAGTGGGGAAGGCCATTTTTGCCCTCCCCAGCCTCCTAGAAAGGCTCTGGAGCCTGGGGAGAGCGAAATACGGGCCAATCTAGAAAGTGGGGGGAGCGTGGGGGGGGTCGCATATGCATGTGCGCAGGATGGGGCGCAGAGAATTATGGGTGTGGGCACATGCGCGTGCGACCCCCCCCCCACAATCCCCCCACTTTTGGCACGCGATGGCAAAAAGGTTAGCCATCACTACCCTAGAAGATAGGCTCAAGATCCAGATGGATCTTGGCAGACTTGAACACTGGGCCCGATCTAACAAAATGAAATTCAATGTAGAGAAAGAACAAGGAGAGATTTAATCAGGAAATAAGGAGACATTTTCTGACAGTGAGAACAATCAACCCATGGAACAGCTTGCCTTTGGAAGTTGTGGGAGCTTCATCACTTGAGACTTTCAAGAAGAGATTGGACTGCCATTTGTCAGAAATGGAATAGGGTCTCCTGCTTAGGCGGGGGGTTGGACTAGCCGACCTACAAGGTCCCTTCCAACTCTGTTAATCTGAATCTGAAATGAACTATTGTAGGTCAAGGACTACCTGTGCTCTTTTCCAATTAGAAACCTGTTGGCCCTCGGATCTGCTTTCTCACAGTCTCACTTCAAAGGAGAGGTGTATATTTTGTGAATTTGTGCCTCTCGTTTAATTGATGTTATTCTCATAGTGACAAAATATGCCATCAAGACAACACCACACAAATGTCACAAAGTACATTACTTTGCACTGTTTGCATGATTGCCGTTGTGTCATCTAACTGGTGTCTGTGTCTGACGCTAAATGCCATTTCCAAGATTATTTGGTTCCTGACCAAGCATCTTTTCCCCTTTCCTTCTGCTGCTTGCAGCAACGAATAGAACGAGAGAGGCAGTTTGTCATAGCTGAATTTAATGCAATACGCCAATTTTTGGAAGAACAAGAGAACTATCTGCTGCGTAAAGTTGTGGAAAGCTTAGAGAAGGGGATGCTGTGGAAAAAGGCTAAGCATGCAGCCATCTTTTTCCGGGAAGTCTCAGCTTTTGATGAACTTATCCAGACAGCCAAAGAGAAGTGCCAACAATCAGCAACTGACCTTCTGCAGGTAAGAGATTCCAAAATTGGGACAAAGACATCTCAGAGAACAGCTTCCCCTAGATCAGACTTGTCAAACTGGCGGCCTGCAGGCTGGTTATGGCCCACATAGGCTACGCCCACCCCCGCCTCCGCAAAGGCAAAAAACATCGCGATACATCACGATACGGCCTGCAATGTGAGTGGGTTTGATACCCCTGTGCTAGATAGATCTGCCTGACTGCTGTAATTCTCCTTGGAGGCCTTCCTGATTCTTCCGATATTCATTTGGAATTTTTGTTTTGTTTTCATCACAAAACAATCTGGGTTTGCTGTCTCTTGAATTGTTTTGCTCTGTGAAATGTAGTTACTGCAGTGATCCTGCTGTTACTGTTTCTTTCTATATTGTCTTTTGATGGCTTTCCTTGATATTAAAACCAAGGCTTATAGCAGACTTTAAATCCATAATTCCCAAACTATGGTCCAAGAAATATAGATGGACTGTGGGAGTGTGGTAGGTGGTCCTTGGGGCACATCCCTTAAACCCTAACCAACTTTAGTGCAATCCAGCACACATAGAGGACATTCCAAAAAGCTACAAGAGCCGTGGTGGCGCAGTGGTTAGAGTGCAGTACTGCAGGCTGCTTCTGCTGCCTGTCGGCTGCCTGCAATTTGGCAGTTCAAATCTCACCAGGCTCAAGGTTGACTCAGCCTTCCATCCTTCTGAGGTGGATAAAATGAGGACTCAGATTGTTGGGGGCCATGTGCTGACTCTGTAAACCGCTCAGAGAGGGCTGTAAAGCACTGTAAAGCGGTATATAAATCTAAGTGCTATTGCTACTGAGGCTTTTTTCCTACTTGGATCTAATTGTGGCACGTAGCTTCTATTTTTCTGCTTTGTCCTCATGAGATTACCTTCATCTCATTCCCCAACCATTGGAGAGACAGCTGCAGGGCATCCTTAGCTATGCTGGTGTCAAAATAACACGTTCCGCATTATTTCAACACCATCCAAGAACAACCTCAAGGTGTGTAGAATCTGCCAGGTTTTTTCATTGATGATCTTGGAAGGGAGAAGCAAATGACCCAGAATAGAGAGAGGATAGCCATCAGCAAAGAAGGCAGTCTACTTCATGGGTACAGATTTCTACTGAAGGATGAATGGAGGACCCTTCAACTTTTTCCATGGGAAAAGGTCCATGGAAGTGGCTGAAACAATATTTCTTGGAAAAATAGTGTAGAAGACTTCAGCATCTAAGATGGAACTATCTTGGCTTGGAGAGGATGTTCATCGAGTGTCCCAATGTGTCATCTCCCCAATATGTAGATTAGGATACAGTCTAGCTTTGATTTTTCTCAACTGGGCAGGAGCAGAGTAGAGTGAAATGAGGAAAGCAGGTGCTAGAGTCGAGCATTATTTCTTACTGCAACTGAGACGTGAATGGAGAAGTTGACATCATCACGTCCCTCCAAGCAGAATCTATAAATGGGAGGACCTATAAATTGCTGATAAGTGCCTGTTTTGCATACTGTTTTGTCTTCTTTGAGTTGGCTGTTTCAAGATGCGTGGATTCTCAAAATCCCCCAAGCAGCATATTGCTAATGCAGAGAATTCTGGAATGCTAAATTCCCCATATCTGGAGAAGAAGACAAAGGCTGGAGTTAGTTGATACAAAACGATACAGTGGTAACATTTCCAAGTATTATTCCAGTCTGGGATTTGAGAGACACTTTTAGTATGAACAACCACCTAATTCCTTTCCACTTTAACTCTTTTCTCTCTTCTAGGATGTGGGAAGCACTCTTAACAGGTAAGCTGACTTCTTCCTAAATTGGAATAGTGGACGCAAGGAGAATGGCTAGGCACAGAGGACAGTCAATTTTGGTTTTATGTGTGTTACTAGTGCAAATTAGTGGAATAATAGAAACCCATTTTTTTTTTGTTGATTTGAGACCTTTAAAAACAATTGCGAAATCATGGATTCCGTCTTTTTTGTTTTGGCATGTCAAAAATGAAAACAAGTGTATTTGATTATTACTATAAAATTTTTGCATAATTTGTTTAGAGTAGACAATCTAATGCAAATTATATTGCATGTAATCAAGCCCAGTTACTTGAGTAGAGTTTAAGTTAAACATCATGGCTCACAACTATGATCTAAATGATGATCCAGTGATCTTAACAGAAGATCATTGAGGATAATCTTCAGTGATGATCTTAAGAGAAGTCAACAAGAATTATTTATCATGATAGATAGCTAAGAGACATGTCTTGGGGTCCACTTTGCAGGTGATTCTGGTTAATTAGCAATTCTTGGGTGGGCTTTTGACTTCCTGAGTAGTTTTCCTACTAGTTTTCTTCCTACTTTTTTGTTTCTGCCTAGGACTACTAGACTTTATCTTGGTCCCTCTTACCTGCTTCATCCTAGGTCACCATTCTTTGGCAGAATGGTGGGTTGCAAATTCCATTAATAAAATAGACCTATTACTTAGATTATCAAGTCTCCAGCAATTTCTCAAAGGAAAAAAAGTAGCCAGCTGGAACCACCACCCAAATGTGGGAACAGGGATCAGAGTTTGGGGCAGGAGTGGGCAGACCTTTTGAGTCTGGGATCCAGAGGTGGTATTCAGCTGGTTCGTACCGGTTCGGGTGAACTGATAGCGGAGATCATGGATGGGACCATCTCCCCGCCTCGGCTTTATGCCATCCTATTTAGGGACGCTTTCGAGGCTAGGTGCATGTGTGGAAGGCGTGTGCACAAAGCAAACTGGTGGTAAGTATATTGAAAACCCACCGCTGCTGGAATCACATTTTGTCTTACCTGGTTGATATGACTTCACTGGCATGAATGAAGCCTGTACCTTGGCAGAGGGATAGTTGAAAAGTTAATATGGATGCCTGGAGCTTTGTAGAATATTTACACCTTAAATACCCTTTGTTTGGCTCATATTTTGTCCTAACATTCTCAACAACCCACTGATAATTCCCTCATGCTTCAGGAAAGGCTCTGGGAACCATAATTTGGAGGTTGGCTCTTTTAAGAGATCTTGATCGCCTATAACGGTGATGGCGAACGTATTGCACGTGTGCCACAGGTGGTACGCGTAGCTATGTTGGTGGGCACACAAGGTCAGCTCCGGTGCGGCCCACCAGAAGTAGGGAAACAGGGTGTTTCCTGCCTCTGGAGGCTGGGGAGAGCAAAAAACAGGCCTACCATGCCATCGCATGCTGGGGGTGGGTGGGTGGGTTTGCGCACGCATGTGTGGGGGCAGGGTGCATAAAATTATGGATGTGGGCGCATGTATGAAACCCCCCCCCCCCGCTTCTGCCACACGATGGCAAAAAGGTTAGCCATCACTGGCCTATAATTTTAGTTGCAACCTATTTACTTCCCTCCTTTCATCTATAGAGCAGAGAACAATGCTCATTTTTCATGTGAATCTACTGGGGTTTTGGATCTGAGAATCTTCAACACTAAAAACAGATCTTGGGGCACATTTTTCTATTCCTCGAAAGATGGCCGCATCGGTTTGTTTCTTCTTAGGTGCAAGCAAACACTTACGAATCCAGTAATGCTTCCTCCATGGGTGAAATTCAGAGTCTGGGATTTATTTGACTTCAATAACTTTCTAGGGACTCTCATGAAACAATTCAAAGGTAAGAAAAGGACTGAAACAAAACATAAAAATTGATGATGGAGAGATGCTGAGTTAGAAGTTGGTGCAGGTAAATGCTGGGGCCATTGAAAAACTTGAAAGGTCTGATCAATAGGGAATTTAAGGGCCACTTGAGAAGAAAGTTTTAATTTTTGAGGAATTTGAAGCAGTCACAATGGCTTAATCATTTTGTTTCAGAACTGTGCTATCAAAGTTATTGAGATTGGCTGGAGAGGTAGCAAGGATTTCTTTCAGACTGAGATCCACAGAATGCCTTTAAGAGACCCACTGACATTTAAAAAACCCTAATTAAAAATAGTGTTTGCTTTGTATGGAAAAAACAAACAAACCTGGATTCAATTCTTGGCATCTCCAGGAATTATTGGGAAGGACTTCTTTTCCTTAAATTTTCAAGAGGAGGGCATTTTAGGGAGTTGCTTAATATTTGATTAAGGGACATGGTGGCTCAGTGGCTAAGATGCTGAGCTTGTAAATCGAAAGGTCGGCAATTCAGCGGTTCGAATCCCTAGTGCCGTGTAACGGGGTGAGCTTCCGTGACTTGTCCCAGCTTCTGCCAAACTAGCAGTTCGAAAGCATGTAAAAAATGCAAGTAGAAAAATAGAGGCCACCTTTGGTGGGAAGGTAACAGCGTTCCGTGCGCCTTTGGCGTTTAGTCATGCTGGCCACATGACCACGGAGACGTCTTCGGACATCACTGGCTCTTCGGCTTTGAAACAGAGATGAGCACTTCCCCCTAGAGTCAGGAACGACTAGCACATATGTGCCAGGGGAACCTTTACCTTTAATATTTGAATTACACAATGTTTTGCATTTGAAACTAAGTCTGTAGGTAATTTCAAATTCTGCTGAAGAATTTCAAGGCAGTATGTATGTAACAGGACATCAGAACTTTGTTTGCAAATCCATAACCAGGAATATGAAATATGAAAACATTTCATATATAGAGAAGGCAAAGATTGGATTCAAGTATCATGTTACACCGTGTTGTTTAACTGTGGTTGTTGATTGAGTTCACACAACACACTGAGCCAGAACCAGCATTGTGATCTAAAAATCTAATAATGCTGTGACTCTATGTGTGCCAAAGGTCAGCAACTTGTAGGATACACAACTCTTCTACTTTTTCTAAGCCATTTGGAAGGCTTGGAAACATTATTTAATATTCAGAATCTGCTCAACTATTGTTTAGTTAGGTGATTTTGAATTTACCGTATTTTTCGGAGCATAAGACGCACCTACCTTTTTTGGTGAGGAAAAGAAGAAAAAGAAATCTCCCTCTTCCTCTGAACAATTTTGCCTCGTTGCAGCAGTCTGCTTTACTTTCATTTTCGTTTTCAGTATAGCTTGATTAGTACAAGTAAAAAAAAATCTGCTCCAGCAATTTACCTCTTTGCAGCAAGCAGCAGAGCCCTGCACAAAACACCTGAGAGCAAATCAGCTGAGAGTCGGGAGGCCAATCCAATCAACTTGTGCTAACTAGGCTGTGCTGAAGCTGAAAGGAGCTGCTTTTTCTTGCTGTTTGCTTGCAAGGAGGTAACTGCTGAGAGGCCAAAGCGTGGGGGCCAGTGGGTGGGTGGGGCTACATTCGGTGTATAAGATGCACCTAAATTTTCACCCTTTTTTAGGGGGGAAAAAGGTGCGTCTTATACTCCAAAAAATACGGTAAGTGTCCATGATACCTTGACAGCAAATTATATTTTGTTCGTAGAAGTGTTGTGTTCTGTTACTTAATCTGTTTCTCTATTTTCTTAGATACCCTGGTATCTGGATATCAGATTCAGAAAGGTATATCTCTGGGTCTGAGGGGTGGCTAAATCTTCACAAACTTCTTTGCTTATATTTTACATGGAGGTTCACCATCTATCCATCCTGGGTCCCTTGCCCAAAACAAGAATGAGCCTTTTCTATTAGAAAAAAAAAAGATAAATCATTTCAATGTCTTTAAATTGGAAGAAAACATTTATAGCAATGCTATGTAGTCCTGTGATTTCTGCCTATGTTTGTCATTTAATGACCCGGTACTCCCTTGCGGGGTGGAGTAAGGGCAACTAAATGGAGCTGAGTGTTTACTAACCGGATGCCCTTCCTGTCACCAATGCAGAGCTTTTGCAGCAGATATATTCTTATTGTACCTAGAAAGAAATATCAGCCTCTACCTAGGATTGAACTCACAGCCTCCTGATTGTGAGGCAAGAGCTCCACCACTAGGTCACCGCACCATTCTCTGTGATTTCTGCCTATATTAATATTTAATACAGGAGGATTACTGTTTAAATGTCCCCCTTTTGATCATCAAACCATAATCCATATTTTTCAAGCATGTCAGATTGCAGCATCATTGGATGGTAAACTGGAGGATGTTGCTGAAAGCTAAAATTTCCCTGGAGAATGACAAATCTAATAACCTTGTGGTTGCAACTCCTCCTCTGCCCCCCCCACCCCCACTTTAGCAATGTCCTTTCCAACCTAGATCCTCTTACTTACAATTTCCAGGAGATACAAAACTTTCTTTTTTTCATTTCTGCATCTTCACTGTTAAGAATAAATCTCAAGGTAGCATCTCAGCACAAAATGTCTCAGCAGGAGGAAGCAAATGCAGTCTATAAAGAAATAATGTTGATGTTTCAATGCATTAAGGAAGATATAACAAGAAATCATAAGGAGATGATGGAATTGTTTCAAGATACAGTGAGATTAGGAAAACCCCAGCAAAGGACAATAATAAATCAACAAAAAAATTAGAAAATAGAGGAGAAAACAGAAAACATTGAGGAAAAAATAGAGGAGATAATTCAAAAAATGATATAAGTAGACAAAAAGAAGAGATAGCAATATTGTCAAACACGGAACAAATAGAATATTTTTTAAGAATTCAAAATAGAAAAAGGAATGAGAAAAATTGTTTAAAAATGATGGGAGAAAAGAGGACGGGTACTCTAGAGATCCAACAGCAAGAGACAGATGCTGTGACAGCGGAAATATTTATATTAAATAAAAATGACGAAAGGAGTTACAAGATACCAGAGGAGAAGCAGGACAGATTCACCAAAAATCTAATAAGAGTTGAAATTCTAAAAAGGGCAAGAGAGGATGGATAGACCTAGAATACTTGTTAACATGGCAGTTATTCTAATAGGTGCTAGAAAAAAGAAGTAGCAAGTAGAAATTGGGAAAATAATATTATGTATACTAAATAAAATAGAACATATGATTACTATGTATACACAAATGTTAGAAGTTTAAAAAGTATGATTATATTTAAATGGTAATATCACCATCAGAATTGTATGCAAAATATATTGACCCAGATAATACACCGTAAACTAAACACTTATGGGTGTTAAAGAAAAAAATATACATAAAGTTATTTTGTTTAAAAAAAGAATAAATCTCACAGCATAGCAAAGATAGTATTCTTTATTAATGTTTGAGCTTTTGATGAACAGCTTTCATCTTAGGGACGACTTACTGTAATTGTGTTTCTTCGTAGCAAATGTGACTCTGGATCCTGACACAGCTCATCCCCAGATCATTCTCTCAGAAGATCTTAAAAGCTTCTGGTTGGGAAGAAAAAGCCAAAAACTCATCATGGACGACAAGAGATTTGACCTCATGATGTGTGTGTTGGGACGCGAGATGTTCGTCGCTGGCAGGCATTACTGGGATGTTGCTGTGGAAAATGAGGGCTACTGGGGTGTTGGAGTTGCCAGACGTTCAGTGAAGAGAAAGGGTGTTGAGGGCTTTAGTACAATGGAAGGGATTTGGGCAATGGCAAAGGGTAGTGGCACCTTGTGGGTGCACATGAACCCCCCAGCTTTTGTGTCTTGGCCAATGGGTTGGAAGATCAAGAAGATTCGAGTCTCTCTGAACTACCCTGGAGGCCGGGTGACTTTTTGTGATGGCGAGAGAGGAAACCTGCTCCATTGCTTCTCAGGAATTTCATTTGCTGGAGAACCCATTTGCCCTTTCTTTTGGATTCAGAATAAAGCCCGTCTCTCGCTTTGTCCCTAAGGCAGAAAATCCATCACCAGATCCTTCTGTCTCTAGATCTCGGGGGCCTCTTTCTATCAGTTTTCCCTTTATCTCTGTTCTTCCTCTCCATCTCATCCTCAGCACCAAACACTTGGGATGAATTTCAGCTGCAAACTGGTGCGATGTAGAATGAATCTTACCGTACAAAGTTGGTACGTACTTTTTAATGGAGCCATACCTGATGGGAAAATCCACCAGACTTTGGAAGGATCAAAATTCCCAGGTAGTGCTGGAGGGTGCTATGTTGAGGAAGACTGTCTTGGCTATTTTATCATTTTAATCTTTAACGGAGGCTTCCAATTAAAAGTTTTAGTGTGGGGGTGGGGTGGGGGCGGAAGCAGCTCTTAATATGGAGAAATAGAGCTGAACACAATCGTTTCAGGGGATGCTATTTTGAACACGCGCACACTTTTTGTTAATCACGGCGGGTTGAATTGTAGTTAAGCGTAAACAGATCGGGATACTCACGTTTAAAAACACCATTCTTTTGCAT